AGTGGAGGTGTTGGTGCCAACCTTCACCACCCGGGGGCGGCCCGTCACGAAGTCCAGGACTCAGTTGCACAGGGCGGGGTTATGTATTCCTCTTGTCCAGATGGGATAGGGCAGTGTGCAGTGCGATGGCGATTGTATCATCCGTGGATCTATTGGGGCGGTATGCAAATTGCAGTGGGTCTAGGGTGTTGGGTAAATTGGAGGTGATATGATCCTTAACTAGCCTCTGAAAGCACTTCATGATGACAGGCGTGAGTGCTAAGGGGCGATAGTCATTTAGTTCAATTGCCTTTGCTTTCTTGGGTACAGGAACAATGGTGAACTCTCCAGCCAGCTCGTCTCCGCATGCTCTGAGGGCGCGGCTAGGATGCTGTCTGGGCCGGCAGCCTTGCGAGGGTTAACACGCTTAAATGTCTTACTCAGGTTGGCCATGAAGAACGAGAGCTCTTAGTCCTCGGGAGCGGCCTGCGTCGGTGGCACTGTGTTATCCTCAAAGCGGGCAAAGGAGGTATTCAGCTTGTCCGTGATCAAGAAGTCGGTGTCCATGACGTGGCTGGTTTTCACTTTGTAATCCGTCTCGTGTCTGAGCCATTGAATTGCGACTCCGCTTTGTCTCTGTACTGACGTTTTGCCTGTTTGATTGCCTTACGGCGGGCATAACTGGACTGTTTGTATTCAACCACACAGTGCATTCAGAAAGTATTCAGACCCCTTCAGTTTTCCACATTTTGTTACGTTACAGCCTTATTCTAAAATGGATTAAATTGTTTTTTACCCTCATCAATCTACACACAATACCCCATAATGAAAAAGCAAAAACAGGTTGTAATACAATTTAGCAAATGTATTACAAATAAATAACTGAAATATCACATTTACATAAGTATTCAGACCCTTTACTCAGTACTTTGTTGAAGCACCTTTGGCAGTGATTACAGCCTCGAGTCTTTCTTGGGTATAACGCTACAAGCTTGGCACACCTGTATTTGGGGAGTTTCTCCCAATATTCTCTGCAGATCCTCTCAAGCTCTGTCAGGTTGGATGGGAAGCGTCGCTGCACAGCCATTTTCAGGTCTCTCCAGAGATGTTTGATCGGGTTCAAGTCTGGGCTCTGGCTGTGCCACTCAAGGCTATTCAGAGACTTGTCCCGAAGCCACTCCTGCGTTGTCTTGGCTGTGTGCTTAGGGGTCATTGTCCTGTTGGAAGGTGAACCTTCGCCCCAGTTCAATCTTGGTTTCATCATACCGAAGAATCTTATTTCTCATGGTCTGAGAGTCTTTAGGTGCCTTTTTGGCAAACTCCAAGCGGGCTGTCATGTGCCATTTAATGAGGAGTGGCTTCCGTCTGGCCCCTCTACCATAAAGGCTTGATTGGTGGAGTGCTGCAGAGATGGTTGTCCTTCTGGAAGGTTCACCCATCTCCACAGAGGAACTCTCAAGCTCTGTCAGAGTGACCATTGGGTTCTTGGTCACCTCCCTGACCAAGGCCCTTCTCCCCCGATTGCTCAGTTTGGCCAGGCAGCCAGCTCTAGGAAGAGTCTAGGTGGTTCCAAACTTCTTCCATTTAAGAATGATGGAGGCCACTGTGTTCTTGGGGACCTTCAATGCTGCAGAATTATTTTGGTACACTTCCCCAGATCTCTGCCTCGACTCAATCCAGTCTCGGAGCTCTACGTACAATTCCTTAAATCTGATAGCTTGGTTTTTGCTCTGACATGCACTGTCAACTGTGGGACCTTATATAGACAGGTGTGTGCCTTTCCAAATCATGTCCAATCAATTGAATTTACCACAGGTAGACTCCAATCAAGTTGTAGAAACATCAAGGATGATCAATGGAAACAGGATGCTCAATTTCGAGTCTCATAGCAAAGGGTCTGAATACTTATGTAAATAAGGTTTTTCAGTTTTTTAGTTGTAATACATTTGCAAAAAATTCTAAACCTGTTTTTTGTCATTATGGGGTATTGTGTGTAGATTGACGAGGACATATTTTTATTTAATCCATTTTAGAATAAGGTTGTAACGTAACAAAATGTGGAAAAAGTCAAGGGGTCTGAATGCTTTCCGAATGCACTGTATTCCCAGTCACCTTGCCACGGTTAAATGCGCTGGTTTGCGCTTTGAGGTTTACGTGAATGTTGCCGTCTATCCACGTGTTTTGGTTTGGATAGGTTTTAATCGTCACAGTGGGAACAACATCCCCTATACACTTCCTGATAAACTCAGTCACCGTGTCAGTGTATACGTCAATGTTATTCTCATAGGCAACCCGGAACATATCCCAGTCCGCATTATCAACATTTGAAGCATGGATTCCGATTGGTCAGACCAGTGTTGAGTAGACCTTAGCATGGGTACTTCCTGCTTGAGTTTCTGCCTATAGGAAGGGAGGAGCAGAATGGTCGTGATCTGATTTGCCGAAGGGAGGGTGGGAGAGTGCCTTGTAGCCATCCCGGAAGGGAGAGTAACAATGGTCGAGAGTTTTTGAAGCCCGAATACTACAGGCAATGTGTTGGTAAAACTTTGGTGGCGTTTTCCTCAGATTTGCTTTATTAAAGTCCCCAGCTACACTAAATGCGGCCTCAGGATATGCGGTTTCCAGTTTGCACAAGTCCAGTGTAGTTCCTTCAGAGCCATCGTGGTATCGGCTTGAGGATGAATATACACGGCTGTGATGATGAACGAAGAGAATTGTCTCGTAGGCGGTCATTAGCAAACCCCCATATGTTATACATATTTGAAAGAGAACCGAACGTAACGGACCGTTTTCTCTTGCTTCAATGTACAGTGCTTTCAGAAAGTATTCATACCCCTTGACTTATTCCACATTTTGTTGTTACAGCCTAAATTAAAAATGGAATAAATATATATTTTTTCTCATCTACACACAATACCCCATAATGACAAAGTGAAAACATATTTTTATTTTAGCAAGTGTATTGAAAATGAAATATAGAAATATCTAATTTACATAAGTATTCACACCCCTGAGTCAAATGTTAGAATCACCTTTGGCAGCGATTACAGCTGTGACTCTTTCTGGCTAAGTCTCTAAGAGCTTTGCACACCTGGATTGTACAATATTTGTTGGTTGTTGATCATTGCTAGACAGCCATTTTCAAGTTTGCCATAGATTTTCATGCCGATTGAAGTCCAAACTGTAACTAGGCCACTCAGGACCATTCAATGTCGTCTTGGTAAGCAACTCCAGTGTATATTTGGCCTTGTGTTTTAGGTTATTGTCCTGCTGAAAGGTGAATTTGGAAAGCAGACTGAACTAGGTTTTCCTCTAGGATTTTGCCTGTGCTTAGCTCTATTCCATTTCTTTTTATCCTAAAAGACTCCTTAGTCCTTGCCGATGACAAGCATACCCATAACATGATGCAGCCACCACCATGCTTGAAAATATGAAGAGTGGTACTCAGTAGAGGTGTGCCGAGTAGCCGGACAAAATGAGTATCGTAACAGATATGGGCAAGTTTCTGGATCCGAATATGATCCGGGTATTTTTTATAATTATCAGTGATCAGAAAAAAATAAATTTTCGGGTGCCAGCACCCATCTTTCTCATGTCAGTCAGTCAAGTGAGGTGCTACTTGGTCTAAATAACTAAACTGGCTAGTTTGCCTGTCTGTAAAGAGAAGGGCGGGCTGTATGTTGATCTTGCTGCTATGATTAGATAGTGAAGCTGTATTTCTGTCCACTTACTTCATCATTTCACACGATCCCTTTCACTTCTCTATTTCGGTCTGATCATTCAGACTGCTGCTGTCTCTTGTTAGCCTGATACTATGATAAGTCATATGGCAAGGACGTTTGCTATCAAGCTATCAATGTGCATAATATCTAAGAAGTGGGGCGAGGGCAGGGGAAACGCGCCGACGTGCAGTCTGACAGATAGCAAACTTGTCTGCCCCCTGCTAGTTGAGGACACACAGACACAGGTCAGACACACACACCCCTCCGCGGCTCCTAATCTGCATCTGTTTGGTCTATAAACGTGCAGGGAGTTAGATATTTTGCCAACATCTACTTAGGCATTGTAAAACATTTCTTATTTTTTTGCTCTGTCCCCCTAGCAAGCCTTGTTCTTCACAATGGCCACTGCTATCATATCCCAACTGAACCCAGATGGGGCGAGACCATGGATAGCCTCAACTCCCTCTCTGTCTAGCAACGTAGTGTAAGGGGAAGGTGAGTTAGGGGATGACAAGGATGACGATGGGATTAATCTCACGGATATCCTCGAGATAGCTCAGGAGATGGGGACTGACGACCCTGTTCTCCGTCTCAGGCCCGTAGGCCTGACTGCCCAGAAAGCAGTGGAGCTGCACCACCTCTTGGAGTTTGGGCTCCTTCATATCTGCAAGTGGGCTCCCTGAGAACACAGAGCGCTTTACTGCCTCCGTTTTTCAGAAGACATACAAGGCCTCGGCCCAAGCAATCAGAGCTCTCAATGTGACCTCTTTATTGTTGACATATCAGGCTGAGTTATTGGAGGAGGTGGGGAAGCAACTGGGCTTGCACACCCTAGACCCAGATGCTTGGGAGGAGATCTGTATGATTAAAGACCTGAATCTCTCTGCCTCCCATAGTGCCATTGAAGGCTGTGGTTGTACCATGAGCTTAGCAGTGATGGGAGAAAGGGCGCTTTAGCTGAGCTTACCCAGCTTAACAGACAAAGAAAAAGTGGACCTCCTGGATGCCCCAGTGACACCAAAGGAGTTGTTCGGAGCCACTGTCACCACCATGCGGTAGACGTGTGACATGCGCAAGAAAGAAGGCGAAGCTTGTCCCAGCCTCACAGCTGGTAGAGGGCAACAAGCTGGCCTTGGTCACTTGTATTACCCAGCGAAGCAGCAGTCTTCCAAGACTCAGGCTAGGACCCTGAACCAGGCCAAAACTGTAGGTAAGCAGTCCTATGCCGCAGCAGGGATCCGCCCCTCTAACCTTCATAAAGTAGGTAAGAAGGGTCGTTCCACCTAGGGCACAGCCCTGATGGCTGAGGAGGATAAAGTGCAAGGACTACTGCTCTCTGCCCTACTCTCTCTCTTCGGCTTTAACGTTTGCCACTCTTTCCCCTCCAAGTTTTCGCAGCAGTGGGAAGGCAGGGCTGCGGTAAGACAAAACCCTATTCTCTCTGCACTTTAGTGACTGTGATCACATGAGAAAATTTAGGAGACCCCCGAGTGCCTCCCTCAGGCTCTCCCCCCGGCGCCTTCTCAGGTTTTCAGCCAGGTGCAGAAGTCAGCATGTCAGCCCTCTATCCGGTCTTACAGACACACGGAGCAGGACGGCAATCTGTCTTTCGCCATCCACTGTGGCCCTTTTCCCCTTGCCTATGGCCTTTTTGCTTCTGGCTTGCTATGGAGCGAGCTACAGTATCACAGTCAAGCCAGCTCTGGTATGCGCTGCTCTGGTTTTCCCTCCAGAGGACGCTGCTACTCTATACACAAGGCAGGAGAACCCTAACCATATTCACTTCCCCATTCTAAGGGAGAACAGGTTTCCAGGGCTCGCTGTGAGACCCCCTCAACCTTTTTAAGGATTTTGAGGGGCATTTTTTCCCTCTACATTGCAAAGGCGACTTGGCTCTGTTATGGAGAACACTCTCCATTGAGCTAGAGATCAGTCAGTATAGTAATTCCTTACTTTACTTTCTGGGTCTTAGGGAAGAGGGGGGGACAGTGCCCCCACCAGGTGTCAGAGCCCCAGACAGCAATCTGGTACTCCCGAGTCCACAAAGCTTCAGCTTTTCCTCGTCCCGTTTTTTTAGTGCGATTGGTTCACACAGCCGGGCCACTGCCTGCTTTGCCTCCCAATCTTACGGGAGCGAGCGGCTGAGGAGATATCTTTGCTCTTGACAACCCTCCTCATGGTGCAGGGTCAAGACATTCCAGTTACGTAGCTGTCCTACTGCCCAGGATTAGGAATACTGCGATGCAGTTGTTTCCTTCTTCCTCCAGCTATATTGCCTGACTTCTTACATCATGGTGCTGGCTGCTCTGTCCCGAGAGAGCCTGCTTCATGCATCTATCCAGAATGACTTGCTGCAGCCTGATAGAAGCGACAACCCTATTAGGGCCCTGGGAGACCCCATCCCAAAAATGACAGTGATCATGCAGTTTAGGGTGGAAGAGCTTACACACCCAGGAAGAATTGCGTAATGCCGCACGCTTTCCTTCCTATGTTGCCTACCCTTCCCTCTTCTGTCTACACGGAGGAAGGGAATAGGGCCTTCCCCTCATCTTCGAGCGCCTCGATGCCCAGTGATTTTCCAGTCGGCAGTTACAGCAACTGCTTATGACCAGTCCTGGCAGCTATCATCATGCAGGGTTATACCCTAGCGAACGAAGCAATGCTATATCCTCTCCCGGATGCTTTAACCCTCTGGACCACCCATACACAAAAAATGTATGCACGCATGACTGTAAGTCGCTTTGGATAAAAGCGTCTGCTAAATGGCATATTATTATTATTATTATTATTATTATTATTATTATTATTATTATTATAGCTGGTGAGAGATATACATGTACAGTGCATTCGGAAAGTATTCAGCCCCCTTTTCCACATTTTGTTACGTTACAGCCTTATTCTAAAATTGATTAAATGCATTTTTTCCCTCATCAATCTACACACAATACCCCATATTGACAAAGGGAAAACAGGTTTTTAAAAATGTTTGCAAATTATTTAAAAAACAACAGATACCTTATTTACATAAGTATTCAGATTCAGATGATTTAGAAAGGCACACACCTGTCTATATAAGGTCCCACAGTTGACAGTGCATGTCAGAGCAAAAACCATGCCATGAGGTGAAAGGAATTGTCCGTAGAGCTCTGAGACAGGATTGTGTCGAGGCACAGATCTGGGGAAGCGTACCAAAAAATGTTGGTGGCAGCAGCATGCTGTGGGGTTGTTTTTCAGTGGCAGGGACTGGGAGAGGAGTCAGGATGGAGGGAAAGATGAATGGAACAAAGTACAGAGAGATCCTTGATGAAAACCTGCTCCAGAGTGCTCAGGACCTCAGACTGGGGTGAAGGTTCACCTTCCAACAGGACAAAGACCCTAAGCACAAACCTAAGACAGCGCAGGAGTGGCTTCGGGACAAGTCTCTGAATAGCCTTGAGTGGCCCAGCCAGAGCCCTGACTTGAACCTGATCGAACATCTCTGGAGAGACCTGAAAATAGCTGTGTAGCGACGCTCCCCATCCAACCTGACAGAGCTTGAGAGGATCTGCAGAGAAGAATGAGAGAAACTCCCCAAATACAGGTGTGCACAGCTTGTAGCTTTATACCCAAGAAGACTCGAGGCTGTAATCACTGCCAAAGGTTATTCAACAAAGTACTGAGTAAAGGTTCTGAATAGTTATGTAAATGTGATATTTCCGGGGTTTAAAAAAAATAAATGTTCAAAAAGTTCTGAAAACCTGTTTTTGCTTTGTCATTATGGGGTATTGTGTGTAGATTGATGAGGGGAAAAAAACGATTTAATCAATTTTAGAATAAGGCTGTAACGTAACAAAATGTGGAAAAAGTAGAGGGGTCTGAATACTTTCAGAATGCACCATACATATACACTTTATATACAAATGTATGTGGACACCCCTTCAAATGAGTGATTTCGGCTATTTCAGCCACACCCGTTGCTGACATGTGTAAAAACACACAGCCATGCAATCGCCTTAGACAAACATTGGCAGTAGAATGTCCTTACTGAAGAGCTCAGTGACTTTCAATGTAGCACCGTCATATTTCTGCCCTGCTAGAGCTGCCCCGGGCAACTTTAAGTGCTGTTATTGTGAAGTGGAAACGTCTACGAACAACAACGGCTCAGCAGTGAAGTGGTAGGCCACACAAGCTCACAGAACGGGACCCCGAGTGCTGAAGCGCGTACAAATCGTCTCTCCGCGGTTGCAACACTCACTACCGAGTTCCAAACTGCCTCTGGAAGCAACGTCAGCACAAGAACTGCTCGTCGGGAGCTTCATGAAATGGGTTTCCATGGCTGAGCATCCGCACACAAGCCTAAGATCACCATGCACAATGCCAAGCATCGGCTTGTGTGGTGTAAAGCTCGCCGCCGTTGGACTCTGGAGCAATGGAAACGTGTTCTCTGGAGTGATGAATCATGCTTCACCATCTGGCAGTCCGATGGATGAATCTGGGTTTGGCGGATGCCAGGAGAACGCTATCTGCCCCAATGCATAGTGCCAACTGTAAAGTTTGGTGGAGGAGTAATAATGGTCTGGGGCTGTTTTTCATGGTTCGGGCTAGGCCCCTTAGTTGCAGTGAAGGGAAATCTTAATACTACAGCATACAATGACATTCTAGACAATTCTGTGCTTCCAACTTTGTGGCAACAGTTTGGGGAAGGCCCTTTCCTGTTTCAGCATGACAATGCCCCTGTGCACAAAGCGAGGTCCATACAGAAATGGTCTGTTGAGATCAGTGTGGAAGAACTTTACTGGCCTGCACAGAGCCCTGACCTCAACCACATCGAACACCTTTGGGATGAATTGGAATACCGACTGCGAGCCAGGCCTAATCGCCCAACATCAGTGCCCGACCTCACTAATGCTCTTGGGGCTGAATGGAAGCAAGTCCCTGCAGCGGTGTTCCAACATCTAGTTGAAAGCCTTCCCAGAAGAGTGGAGACTGTTATAGTAGCAAAGCGTGGGACCAATTCCTAATGCCCATGATTTTGGAATGAGATGTTCGACGAGCAGGTATCCACATACTTTTGATCATGTAGTGTATATATATATATATATATATATATATGAGATAGTATATAGATATAGTATATATAGTATAGATATATATATATAGATATATAGATGATATATATATATATACACCACACACACACACACACACACACACACACACACACACACACACACACACACACACACACACACACACACACACACACACACACACACACACACACACAGTGAGGGAAAAAAGTATTTGATCCCCTGCTGATTTGATACATTTGCCCACTGACAAAGAAATGATCAGTCTATAATTTTAATGGTAGGTTTATTTGAACAGTGAGAGACAGATTAACAACAAAAAAATCCAGAAAAATGCATGTGAAAAATGTTATAAATTGATTTGCATTTTAATGAGGGAAATAAGTATTTGACCCCTCTGCAAAACATGACTTAGTACTTGGTGGCAAAACCCTTGTTGGCAATCACAGACGTCAGACGTTTCTTGTAGTTGGCCACCAGGTTTGCACACATCTCAGGAGGGATTTTGTCCCACTCCTCTTTGCAGATCTTCTCCAAGTCATTAAGGTTTCAAGGCTGACGTTTGGCAACTCGAACCTTCAGCTCCCTCCACAGATTTTCTATGGGATTAAGGTCTGGAGACTGGCTAGGCCACTCCAGGACCTTAATGTGCTTCTTCTTGAGCCACTCCTTTGTTGCCTTGGCCGTGTGTTTTGGGTCATTGTCATGCTGGAATACCCATCCACGACCCATTTTCAATGCCCTGGCTGAGGGAAGGAGGTTCTCACCCAAGATTTGACGGTACATGGCCCCGTCTATCGTCCCTTTGATGCGGTGAAGTTGTCCTGTCCCCTTAGCAGAAAAACACCCCCAAAGCATAATGTATCCACCTCCATGTTTGACGGTGGGGATGGTGTTCTTGGGGTCATAGGCAGCATTCCTCCTCCTCCAAACACGGCGAGTTGAATTGATGCCAAAGAGCTCGACTTTGGTCTCATCTGACCACAACACTTTCACCCAGTTCTCCTCTGAATCATTCAGATGTTCATTGGCAAACTCTAGACGGGCCTGTATATGTGCTTTCTTGAGCAGGGGGACCTTGCGGACGCTGCAGGATTTCAGTCCTTCACGGCGTAGTGTGTTACCAATTGTTTTCTTGGTGACTATTGTCCCAGCTGCCTTGAGATCATTGACAAGATCCTCCCGTGTAGTTCTGGGCTGATTCCTCACCGTTCTCATGATCATTGCAACTCCACGAGGTGAGATCTTGCATGGAGCCCCAGACCGAGGGAGATTGACAGTTCTTTTGTGTTTCTTCCATTTGCGAATAATGGCACCAACTGTTGTCACCTTCTCACCAAGCTGCTTGGCGATGGTCTTGTAGCCCATTCCAGCCTTGTGTAGGTCTACAATCTTGTCCCTGACATCCTTGGAGAGCTCTTTGGTCTTGGCCATGATGGAGGGTTTGGAATCTGATTGATTGATTCCTTCTGTGGAGAGGTGTCTTTTCTACAGGTGTCTTTTATACAGGTAACAAGCTGAGATTAGGAGACTGTGCTCCTAATCTCAGCTCGTTACCTGTATAAAAGACTACTGGGATTCAGAAATCTTTCTGATTGAGAGGGGGTCAAATACTTAGTTTCCCTCATTCAAATGGAAATAAATTTATAACATTTTTCACATGCGTTTCTCTGGATTTTTTTGTTGTTATTCTGTCTCTCACTGTTCAAATAAACCTACCATTAAAATTACAGACTGATCATTTCTTTGTCAGTGGGCAAACGTACAAAATCAGCAGGGGATCAAATACTTTTTTCCCTCACTGTATATATAAGCAATAGACAGGCCTGCGACTCTTGGAAAAGAGTGCCAGCCCCTTTCGCATGCTCTTTGTTTTACAGTTGTTGCTTTTTTCTTGGAGTAGTGGTATGACTAAACAGATTGTTCCTTCCTGCACTCTGTTTTCCATGGTCCTATGCTTCTTGCAGGATTTTTGGGATTGAGAGAAGGCTCATCGTTGTTATGGTCCTTTAGCCGATTTCTCAGCCTTTCAAAGCCCTGACAGTGAAACAGTTTATCCATAACTGTTGTGTCATTTCTAAGGGGGTCTCGTCGCTTACTCCCAGCCTCTAAGACTTTAGCTCGTCCTGGGTTTTGACTATTGTGCTTAAGATCCTTTCACAGCAGCTACTGGCTGTCGAAAAGCGTGGAGAGGTAATATTCCTCCATCTTTCGCTTTACACTGCCCTTGGTGTCCCTAAGCGTATGTGTGTGGTCTGTGCTCTACCAGCTGCTGTTCGCTCCCGCTGTCTACTCAGGTTTTTTTTAGGTTAAAGTACCTAACCCCATCTTTGGCCCGGGTCGGCTTTTTTCCATTTTCACACCTTGGAGCTTATGGCTTTTCCCAAGAAGGGCGTCTCTGTCATTGTGCAGTACGCCCGGTTTGCATCTACTTGGATTGTAGGAGAGCTCAGGCAAGGGTGTTATGGTGCTCATTGGGCTACCTCCCTCGGAAGAGGGTGGGCCCTTCTCTTTTTTAGAGAATATCCTGCCAGATCATGGGGCTATTAAATTGATTTATAATGGCGTGGGTGACAGCCTTCGGAGCGGCCTGGAAGAGCCCTCTCCTATAGAGGAGTTTACCTCTTGGGCACTGTTTTTGGGACATATCTCATAAAATTGAGATTGTGTGCCACGTATTGGGCTTCCCTTCACTTTCTGAAGTTTTTCCCGATGGGTTGTTTCTTCATCCTTGGTGCCTACTCCCTCAGTTTTGGAGCCTCTGAGGGTTGCTGACGTTGGGACTACCCTGGCTTCGGAGAGCATGTCTTTAAGATATGGGAGTTGGCCATATCTTCATTGTGAGAAATCAAAACAAATAACTGAAAGATAACTTAAAGTTACTTGCGTAACCCCGGTTCTCTGATATTATGAGTGAGATATCTCACCGCATTCCCCTGCTCGTAAGAGCACTATGTCACGGATTCTGCCGAGGCTGCCCCTCCTCCTTGCTCGGACAGGTTTCGGCATTCGTCGTCACCGGAGTACTAGCTGCTGCCGATCTATGTTCTACCTGTTGTGTCAGATTGTTTCACACCTGTTGCCCATCTTGTGATTACTCCGCCCCTATTTAACCCTGTGGCTCCCGTTGTGTTCTGTGCGTGTTTGTTGTTTGTTCTCGGATGTCGTTGGTGAGCGGGTTTATTCCTCCCTGCGTGGAGGCTTCTTGTTTCTTTACGTGATTTAGTAAAGATACGTTTTTCCCTTGAGTTCTGTGTCCTGCGCCTGACTTCAGTCTACCGCATACACTGACACCGTGACACACTAGGAAGTGAAGCATGCTTGAGAATAACCGGAGTACAGGAGAGTGGCTCCTTTTAAGGAAGGCTCACCTGATTCGCCACTCTACCTGTCTCCAACAGATGCTTTTGATTGGTTCTTCCGAGAGTAGGGGATCCTAGAGAATCCCCATTGTGAGATATCTAACTCATAAGATCAGAGAACCAGGGTTACACAAGTAACTAAGTTCTATAATCTTTTGTTTTGGTTGTAAACATATAACATAAATTATATGTACAGTGCATTTGGAAAGTATTCAGACCCCTTGACTTTTTCCGCATTTTGTTACGTTACAGACTTATTCTAAAATCTATTAAATCGTTTTTTCCCCTCATCAATCCACACACAATACCCCATAATGACAAATCAAAAACAGTAGTTTTTTTTGGGCCAATTTGTCAAATAAAAACGGAAATAACCCATTTACATAAGTATTTACTCTTTACTCAGTACTTTGTTGAAGCACCTTTGGCAGCGATTACAGCCTTGATACTTCTTGGATATGACGCTACAAGCTTGGCACACCTGTATTTGGGGAGTTTCTCCCATTCTTCTCTGCAGATCCTCTCAAGCTCTGTCAGGTTGGATGGGGAGCGTAGCTGCACAGCTATTTTCAGGTCTCTCCAGACATGTTCGATTGGGTTCAAGTCAGGGCTCTGGCTGGGCCACTCAAGGACATTCAGAGACTTGTCCCGAAGCCACTCCTGCGTTGTCTTGGCTGTGTGCTTAGGGTCGTTGTCCTGTTGGAAGGTGAACCTTCGCCCCAGTCTGAGCTCCTGAGCACTCTGGAGCAGGTTTTCATCAAGGATCTCTCTGTACTTTGCTCCGTTCATCTTTCTCTCAATCCAGACTAGTCTCCCAGTCCCTGCCACTGAAAAACATTCCCACAGCATGATGCTGCCACCACCATGCTTCACCGTAAGGACGGTGCCAGGTTTCCTCCAGACGTGACGCTTGGCATTCAAATTCTTAACGGGCTGTCATGTGCCTTTTACTGAGGAGTGGCTTCCGTCTGGCCACTCTACCATAAAGGCCTAATTGGTGGAGTGCTACAGAGATGGTTGTCCTTCTGGAAGGTTCTCCCATCTCCACAGAGGAGCTCTGGAGCTCTGTCAGAGTGACCATCGGGTTCTTGGTCACCTCCCTGACCAAGGCCCTTCTCCCCCGATTGCTCAGTGTTCTTGGGGACCGCCAATGCTGCAGAAATGTTTTGGTACCCTTCCCCAGATCTGAGCCTCGACACAATCCTGTCTCGGCGCTCTACGGACAATTCCTTTGACCTCATGGCTTGGTTTTTGCTCTGACATGCACTGTCAACTGTGGGACCTTATATAGACAGGTGTGTGCCTTTCCAAATCATGTCCAATCAGTTGAATTTAGCACAGGTGGACTCCAATCAAGTTGTAGAAACATCTCAAGGATGATCAATGGAAACAGGATGCAACTGAGCTCAATTTCGAGACTCATAGCAAAGGGTCTGAATACTTATGTAAATAAGGTATTTCAGTTTTTTATTTATAATACATTTGCAAAAATGTCTAAACCTGTTTTTGCTTTGTCATTATGGGGTATTGTGTAGATTGATGAGAGAAAATATATAATTTAATCAATTTTAGAATAAGGCTGTAACGTAACAACATTTGGAAAAAGTCAAGGGGTCTTAATACTCTCTGAATGCACTGTAGGCTGTTATATGTAGGCTATAGAGATGTTGACAGCTTGTCTTCTAGCATTATGCAATGTATCCTCAAACTATCCCACACCTCTCATGTCTTCCACAATGACATGCTCTCCCCCTCTCGCATAATAATGACACAGGAAACGCAGAGTCATGGTTGACATTTGTTATCAGAGAACCATATTGTTTACTGCAGTTATCAGAAACAAATTGCCTACCAACGACCCCAGCAACGACCCCAGTAATGGACCTTTTGAAGGACAAGCTTGCATTCTTGTAGAGATAAATATCATAGGCTTACTATTACCACTCTAGTAGAGTTATATCTGTACTATAAATATAAAATGACAAAGCCTGTTGGTTCCATGTATACTACAATGTTCAGTAGAAGGTCACTACATGTTTGGACTGCATTCCATGGAACCTTCTAAAACACAAGTACATACTGACCCACAATGATTAAAATGAGCTTCCTAAGAGGGGCGTTTCTTTATACAATATGTACACTCACAATGTTCTCAGTGGAAATTCACTTGGCATGTTGAACTATTTGAATGGCACTGCAGGGAAACATTGTGTAATATGTGTTTTATCTTACAGTAGTTCCTTTGCACTCAGCTAATCATTAATGCGTAATAAAAGATGATTATGTGACTGTCTTTCATTTATATTCAAACCAAGTCTCCCATGACGTTTGGGTCAAGTCACAGAGAAGACACAGACAGAAAGACCCAACCTTGGAGATGGAGCTGGACCAAGGCAAGATGGATCAGGAGCCAGGCAGGCCCACATGGAGTAGGCAGATAGAGTTCACCCTGGCTGGGATTGGCTGTGCTGTGGGGCTGGGGAACGTATGGCGGTTCCCTTATCTGTGTTACAGGAGTGGAGGAGGTGAGAGGACATTTCCGATAAGTCAGCCCTGATAAAAGACTAAAACCCAATGACTATATAGCATAACCAGACTTACACCTTATTCATTTATATTGTTGAGAATACATATGGTTGTGAATGAAAGTTTTACATTTGTCTGGGTATATGATAGCATGTTTTCTCTTGTCATGTTGATAGAAAATGTCAGGGTGATATTAATGGTTAGTACCGTGGAGGAAAGCATAATCTTAGAGTAGAGTTTTGTACTATGGCATATGATGATGATGATGCACCACATTTTATACTGAGATACTTGAATAATGCCATAATGACATGCCACTTGTCACTGTCATTGGTTATGAATACGATTTTATAGAATTTTTGTTATTATAGAGAGAGAATTAAGAATTTTACCAGGTATTACATTTTGTCCAATGATCAGAATTAATTCAGAATGGCATAACAACAACATGTAATGTTTAAATTAAAATGACCTTAAACCCTGAGAACCTAACAAGCAATTATTTCTTTATAAAGCTGCAAAAACACAACCTAACTCCTCGTCTGGAGGTTAAAAAGCCCAGTTAATTCCGGCACGTGAGAGGCAATGAGTTTGGATGAGGGGGGTGAATGACTTTATTAAAGATTAGACCTGGTCAGATATGCACCACTGACTCAACAACACATGGCATTGTTAAACTTGCTGTGAAAATATAACTTGGTGGCACATTGACACGCTAGTCAAAACATTTCCATGTCTCCCTGTTTTCAATGATGAGAAGGGTACAGTGGGGAGAACAAGTATTTGATACACTGCCGATTTTGCAGGTTTTCCTACTTACAAAGCATGTAGAGGTCTGTCATTTTTATCATAGGTACACTTCAACTGTGAGAGACGGAATCTAAAACAAAAATCCAGAAAATCACATTGTATGATTTTTTAAGTAATTAATTAGCATTTTATTGCATGACATAATTATTTGATACATCAGAAAAGCAGAACTTAATATTTGGTACAGAAACCTTTGTTTGCAATTACAGAGATCATATGTTTCCTGTAGGTCTTGACCAGGTTTGCACACTGCAGCAGGGATTTTGGCCCACTCCTCCATACAGACCTTCTCCAGATCCTTCAGGTTTCGGGGATGTCGCTGGGCAATACGGACTTTCAGCTCCCTCCAAAGATGTTCTATTGGGTTCAGGTTTGGAGACTGGCTAGGCCACTCAAGGACCTTGAGATGCTTCTTACGGAGCCACTCCCTTAGTTGCCCTGGCTGTGTGTTTCGGGTCGTTGTCATGTTGGAAGACCCAGCCACGACCCATCTTCAATGCTCTTACTGAGAGAAGGAGGTTGTTGGCCAAGATCTCCCGATACATGGCCCCATCCATCCTCCCCTCAATACGGTGCAGTCGTCCTGTCCCCTTTGCAGAAAAGAATCCCCAAAGAATGATGTTTCCACCTCCATGCTTCACGGTTGGGATGGTGTTCTTGGGGTTGTACTCATCCTTCTTCTTCCTCCAAACAAGGCGAGTGGAGTTTAGACCAAAAGGCTCTATTTTTTTCTCATCAGACCACATGACCTTCTCCCATTCCTCCTCTGGATCATCCAGATGGTCATTGGCAAACTTCAGACGTGCCTGGACATGCGCTGGCTTGAGCAGGGGGACCTTGCGTACGCTGCAGGATTTTAATCCATGATGGCGTAGTGTTTCTAATGGTTTTCTTTAAGACTGTGGTCCCAGCTCTCTTTAGGTCATTGAACAGGTCCTGCCGTGTAGTTCTGGGCTGATCCCTCACCTTCCTCATGATCATTGATGCCCTACGAGGTGAGATCTTGCATGGAGCCCCAGACTGAAGGTGATTGACCGTCATCTTGAACTTCTTCCATTTTCTAATAATTGCGCCAACAGTTGTTGCCTTCTCACCAAGCTGCTTGCCTATTGTCCTGTAGCCCATCCCAGCCTTGTGCAGGTCTACAATTTTATCCCTGATGTCCTTACACAGCTCTCTGGTCTTGGCCATTGTGGAGAGGTTGGGGTCTGTTTGATTGAGTGTGTGGACAGGTGTCTTTTATACAGGTAACGAGTTCAAACAGGTGCAGTTAATACAGGTAATAAGTGGAGAACAGGAGGGCTTCTTAAAGAAAAACTAACAGGTCTGTGAGAGACGGAATTCTTACTGGTTGGTAGGTGATCAAATAAAGTGAGGGGAAAAAAGTATTTGATCCCCTGCTGATTTTGTACGTTTGCTCACTGACAAAGACATGATCAGTCTATAATTTTAATGGTAGGTTTATTTGAACAGTGAGAGACAGAATAACAACAAAAAAATCCAGAAAAATGCATGTCAAAAATGTTATAAATTGATTTGCATTTTAATGAGGGAAATAAGTATTTGACCCCTCTGCAAAACATGACTTAGTACTTGGTGGCAAAACCCTTGTTGGCAATCACAGAGGTCAGACGTTTCTTGTAGTTGGCCACCAGGTTTGCACACATCTCAGGAGGGATTTTGTTCCACTCCTCTTTGCAGATCTTCTCCAAGTCATTAAGGTTTCGAGGCTGACGTTTGGCAACTCGAACCTTCAGCTCCCTCCACAGATTTTCTATGGGATTAAGGTCTGGAGACTGGCTAGGCCACTCCAGGACCTTAATGTGCTTCTTCTTGAGCCACTCCTTTGTTGCCTTGGCCGTGTGTTTTGGGTCATTGTCATGCTGGAATACCCATCCACGACCCATTTTCAATGCCCTGGCTGAGGGAAGGAGGTTCTCACCCAAGATTTGACGGTACATGGCCCGTCCATCGTCCCTTTGATGCGGTGAAGTTGTCCTGTCCCCTTAGCAGAAAAACACCTCCTCCAAACACGGCGAGTTGAGTTGATGGCAAAGAGCTCGATTTTGGTCTCATCTGACCACAACACTTTCACCCAGTTACATTTACATTTACATTTTAGTCATTTAGCAGACACTCTTATCCAGAGCGACTTACAGTTAGTGAGTGCATACATTATTTTTTGTATTTTCTTTTCATACTGGCCCCCCGTGGGAATCAAACCCACAACCCTGGCGTTGCAAACGCCATGCTCTACCAACTGAGCTACATCCCTGCCGGCCATTCCTTCCCCTACCCTGGACAATGCTGGGCCAATTGTGCGCCGCCCCATGGGTCTCCCAGTCGCGGCCGGCTACGACAGAGCCTGGATAATCCTGAACGACAGAGCCAGTTCTCCTCTGAATCATTCAGATGTTCATTGGCAAACTTCAGACGGGCCTGTATATGTGCTTTCTTGAGCAGGGGGACCTTGCGGGCGCTGCAGGATTTCAGTCCTTCACGGCGTAGTGTGTTACCAATTGTTTTCTTTGTGACTATGGTCCCAGCTGCCTTGAGATCATTGACAAGATCCTCCCGTGTAGTTCTGGGCTGATTCCTCACCGTTCTCATGATCATTGCAACTCCACGAGGTGAGATCTTGCATGGAGCCCCAGGCCGAGGGAGATTGACAGTTCTTTTGTGTTTCTTCCATTTGCGAATAATCGCACCAACTGTTGTCACCTTCTCACCAAGCTGCTTGGCGATGGTCTTGTAGCCCATTCCAGCCTTGTGTAGGTCTACAATCTTGTCCCTGACATCCCTGGAGAGCTCTTTGGTCTTGGCCATGATGGAGAGTTTGGAATCTGATTGATTGATTGCTTCTGTGGACAGGTGTCTTTTTTACAGGTAACAAACTGAGATTAGGAGCACTCCCTTTAAGAGTGTGCTCCTAATCTGAGATCATTACCTGTATAAAAGACACCTGGGAGCCAGAAATCTTTCTGATTGGGAGGGTGTCAAATACTTATTTCCCTCATTAAAATGCAAATCAATATATAACATTTTTGACATGCGTTTTTCTGGATTTTTTTGTTGTTATTCTGTCTCTCACTGTTCAAATAAACCTACCATTAAAATTATAGACTGATCATGTCTTTGTCAGTGGGCAAACGTACAAAATCAGCAGGGGATCAAATACTTTTTCCCTCACTGTACTTATGTCATGCAATAAAATGCAAATTAATTACTTAAAAATCATACAATGTGATTTTCTGGATTTTTGACATGCGTTTTTCTGGATTTTTGTTGTTGTTATTCTGTCTCTCACTGTTCAAATAAACCTACCATTAAAATTACAGACCTCTACATGCTTTGTAAGTAGGAAAACCTGCAAAATCAGCAGTGAATCAAATACTTGTTCTCCCCACAATATATGTTAAAATGTTTGTTTAAAATAAAATAATGTGGCTTCCCGGGTGGCGCAGCAGTCTAAAGCACTGCATCGCAGTGTTGCGGCATGACTACAGCCTGGGGTTCGATCCCAGGCTGTGTCGCAACCGGCCGTGACTGGGAGTCCCATAGGGCTGCGTACAATTAGCCCAGCGTCGTCCGGGTTAGGGGAGGGTTTGGCCGAGGGGGCTTTACTTGGCTCATCGCGCTCTAGCGACTCCTTGTGGCCTGCCGGGCGCCTGCAAGCTGATTTCGGTCGTCAGTTTAATGTAATTTCCTCCGACACATTGGTGCAGCTGGCTTCCAGGTTAAACGAGCGAGTGTTAAGAAGCGTGGCTTGGCGGGTCATGTTTTGGAGGACGTATGACTCGATCTTCGCCTCTCCCGAGCCCGTTGGGGAGTTGCAGCGATGAGACAAGATCGTAATTGGATCGCAATTGGAAATCATAAAATTGGGGAGAAAAAGGGGGTAAAATAAAATATGTACTTTTTTTATTTTATCTGAAGAGTTCTGAGGTAGAGATCAGTAGTTGTAAAACAAACCAATCATACTCAAACATGCACCCTCTATCCTCTCCCTCTAGGCAATTACAACACACTTCAGTCCCACTTGAGTCACTGTGTTGTTGATATATTGCTGCTTTATGTCCTGTTCAGGTGCATTCCTGATTCCCTACCTGCTGATGCTGCTGGTGATGGGGATTCCTCTGCTCTACATGGAGCTGATTCTGGGACAGTACATGAGGAGAGGGCCTGTTCATGCCCTGGCTAAAGCCTGCCCGCTGCTCAAAGGTACTGAAGCGTGCAGTATCTGTTCCCCCCCCACTACTGGAGCATCATTTTAGTGTAGAGTTTTTACATAGTCAAACTAAAAATAGCATAGTCAAACTAAAACCGTCAGTCAAATTTAAACCTATGAAATGGTGCTGGTGTCCAACAGGGTCATAAACATTTTGCTGACTCACTAGTGGAGGAAAGGATGACCATAAATCAGGCTTTCCTCTTCCCTGCAGTTCAGTTATAACTCTAGTCTATGCATAAGGTTGTAACTAACTAAGTATTTTAAGATTCAGGTAAGTTGTAAATGACAAAAGTGACAATGTTATTTGCCCGTCCCTAAGGAGTGGGCCTTGCGACCGTGGCCATCTCCTTCATCATGTCTACTTACTACAACATCATCATCACATGGGGTCTGTACTACCTGTTCAGCTCCTTCCAGAGCCCGCTGCCCTGGCAGAGCTGCAACAACACATGGAACACCCCCAACTGCACCGATCACGTAACCCCGAACACCAGCTCACACTCCTCCACCGCCAGCCAGCAGTTCTTTAAGTAGGTCTCAGTCTCACTATGGGCTAGCCCAGAGCCATACTCCTCTATGTACACTCCACTATGTATTTATTTGGACATTTTTGCTAAAACTGTTAATTTGGCTCTATACTCTAGCATTTTGGATTTGAGATCAAATGTTGTATACTGTATGAGGCGACAGTACAGAATGTCACCTTTTATTTGAGGGTATGTTCATACACCTGTTTTACCGTTTAGAAGTGAATGCACAAATCACGTTTCAGGAGAAGACCCAGATGCAGACAGTGTCGAAGTAACAAAAGTTTATTACAAAAACAGGGGGCGGGTAAACGACAGGTCAAGGACAGGCAGAAGTCAGTAATCCAGATCAGAGTCCAAAAGGTACAGAACGGCAGGCAGTCTCAGGGTCAGGGCAGGCAGAGGTCAATAATCCAGGGTGATGTGACAAGGTACAGAATGTCAGGCAGGGTCAGGGCAGGCAGAATGGTCAAAACCAGGAAAACTAAAAAACAGGAACTTGAGCAAGGGGAAAAAACGCTGGTAGGCTTGACGAAACAGGAGACAAAGGGCTGTGAGACATGGGTTTGATCCTAGACACATGAAAAGTGGGATGTATACAGAGGGTACGGGGCAACAGAAGACGAACAGCAGAGGGGCTAATTATCTTGGAGATGGGGAAAGGGCCGATAAACCGGGGGGAAAGTTTGCGGGACTCCACCCGGAGGGGCAGATCTCGGGTGGACAGCCATACCTTCTGCCCGAGACGATACTCGTAGTGACCGCTGGCCGTGTTGAAGGCAGTCTTCCACTCGTCCCCCTCCCGTATCCGCACCAGGTGGTAGGTGTTCCGTAGGTCCAGCTTGGAGAATACGTTGGCCCACTGGAGCGGCTCGAAGTTTGAGGAGATGAGTGGTAGCGGGTAGCGTTTCTTCACCGTGATGTCGTTGAGGCTCCGGTAGTCGATGCCGGGTTATCCGTCCTTCTGCCTCCCCCGCCTGGCGCAGGGTTCTTCTTTGTGGAGAAGAAGGACAAAACCCTGCGCCAGGCGTAGGAGGCAGAAGGACGGATGAACCCGGCAGCTAGGGAGTCCTCAATGTAGGTCTCCATAGCTTTGGTCTCCGGACCCGACAGCGAGTACAGTCATCCCCGGGGTGGAGTGGTGCCTGGAAGAAGGTTGACTCCGCAGTCGTAGGGTCGGTGAGTGGAAGTGAAGTGGCCCAGGCCTTACTGAACACCTCCCGGAGGTCCTGGTACTCTGCGGGAATGGCGCAGAGGTCCGAGGCAACTTCCGAGCCCCCAGGAAGATGTCCCGGGGCAGGTTGCGCTGACTTCAGGTTATTGAGCATGACAGAACGGGCTCCAGCCCATGATGGCACCAGTAGACCAGTCAATAAAGGGGTTGTGTCGCTGGAGCCAAGAGAAACCCAATACCACGGATACCTGAGGAGACTTAATTAGCAGGAATTGGATAATCTCGCTGTGGTTCCCTGATACTCGTAGGTTGATGGGGTGGTATTGTGGGTGACCTGGCCTATAGAACGCCCGCCCGCCCAGCGCTCTAACGTCCATGGGAATGGAGAGGGGCTGAGTGGGGATGCCCATTAAAGGGTAGCGTCCATAAAGCTCTCATCGGCCCCAGAGTCGATGAGTACACAGAGAGATTTTGACTGGTTCCCCCACAGCAAGATGTCATGAAAGGGGGTGTGATTAAGGGGAGAGGAAAAGTTATCCGTTTGGCCCACCAGAGTACTCGCTCCTTCCGGTGCTCCTGGTATTTTAGTGGACAGGTGGACACAAACTGACCAGTAGTCCCTCAATACAGGCAACTCTTCATGTGAAGCCTGTATTGCCGTTCAGCTGGAGACAGCCTAGCTCTGCCCAGTTGCAACGGCTCGGGAAGAGGTGAATCGGCAGACTTCGGAGACTCTCTGGGGAACTCGGGTAGCCTCTGGTTCTCTCGGCAACAGAGCCGTCTGGGACTTCCGGGATGCCTCGGAGGCGAGGTGGAATCCTTGGGCGGGCGAGTGGAATCGGACTTCCTCTCCTTCCTTTGTTCCCGTAGTCGCCAATCGATCCGAATGGTCAAGGTGATGAGCGAGTCTATCCGTCGTTAGTTCCCGGAATGCAAGCTCGTCCTTTACTTCCTCCGATACTCTGTGCAGGAACGTGTCGAACAGCGCTTCCGGGTTCTAGGCACACTCACCTGCCAACGTGCAGAAATCCACTGCATGGTCTGCCACACTGCGGGATTCTTGCCGAAGTTGGAGTAACTTCCGGGCAGCCTCTCTCCCGAACAATGGAACATCGAAAACCTTCTTCACCTCCTGTATGAACTCTTCCAGACTGAAGCATACGGCCGACTGTTGTTCCCACACCGCCGTAGCCCAGGCGAGAGCCCTCCCGGACATCAGTGTGATGAGGTACGCTATCTTAGAGCAGTCCGTCGGAAGGAGGAGGGCTGCAGCTCGATGATGAGCGAACACTGAGCGAGAAAAGCCCGACAGGTTCCCGACTCTCCAGCGAAGCGTTCCGGGGGAGGTAAGCGGGGTTGTAGGCTGCCTAACAGACAACCCGCGGAATTCCTCCAGCAATGTGTTAAACACTCGGTCATGGCGTTCGGCCAAGGTCTGGAACCCTTCCATGAGACCACGCAGCAACTCCTTGTGCCTACCAATGGTGGCTCCTTGGGAGGAGATGGCGTTGCGGAGCTGGTCCGAGTCTGCTGGGTCAGTCATGGCCAGTTCGTACTATCACGTTTCAGGAGAAGAACCAGATGCAGACAGTGTCGAAGTAACAAAAGTTTATTACAAAAACAAGGGGCAGGCAAACGACAGGTCAAGGGCAGGCAGAGGTCAGTAATCAAGATCAGAGTCCAGAAGGTACAGAACGGCAGGCAGTCTCATGGTCAGGGCAGGCAGAGGTCAATAATCCATGGTGGTGTGACAAGGTACAGAACGGCAGGTAGGCTCAGGGTCAGGGCAGGCAGAATGGTCAAAACCGGGAAAACTAGAAAACAGGAACTTGAGAAAGACAGGAGCAAGGGGAAAAACACTGGTAGGCTTGACGAAACAAAACGAACTGGCAACAGACAAACAGAGAACCCAGGTATAAATACGCTGGTGATAATGGGGAAGATGGGCGCCACCTGGAGGAGGGTGGAGACAATCACGAAGGCAAGTGAAAAAGATCAGGGTGTGACAGCACTTTATGTATCTAGTACCCCCATTTGAAGGTGTTGTGAGTATTTGGACAAATTCATTTATAGTGTATAAAAGTTTAGTTTTTGGTCCCATATTCCTAGCATGCAATGACTACATCAAACTTGTGACTCTACAAACTTGTTGGATGCATTTGCAGTCTGTTTTGGTTGTTTTTCGGTTGTGTTTCGGAATTATGTTGTGCCCAATAGAAATGAATGGGAAATAATGTATTGTGTCATTTTGGAGTCACTTTTATTATAAATAAGAATATGTTGTTGAACACTTCTACATTAATGTGGATACTACCATGATTACGGATAATCATGAATGAATCGTTAATAATGATGAGTGAGAAAGTTAGATGCATTCGGAAAGTTATACAGTGCAGGTAGCTTAGTGGTTAAGAGTGTTGTGCCAGTAACCGAAAGGTCGCTGGTTCTAATCCCCGAGCCAACTAGGTGAAAAATCTGTCGATGTGCCCTTGAGCAAGGCACTTAACCCTAATTGCTCATGTAAGTCGCTCTGGATAAGAGCGTCTGATAAATGACAAAAAATAAATAAATAAAAATATTCAGACCCCTTGACTTTTTCCAAATTTTTTATGTTACAGCCTTATTCTAAAATGGATTAAATAACACATATTCCTCGTCAATCTACGCACAATACCCCATAATCACAAAGCGAAAACAGGTTTTTAGAAATGTTTGCAAAAAACAGAAATACCTTATTTACATAAGTATTCAGACCCTTTGCTATGAGACTCGAAATTGAGCTCAGGTGCATCCTGTTTCCATTGATCATCCTTGAGATGTTTCTACAACTTGATTGGAGTCCACCTGTGGTAAATTCAATTGATTGGACATGATTTGGAAAGGCACACACCTGTCTATATAAGGTCCCACAGTTGACAGTGCATGTCAGAGCAAAAACCAAGCCATGAGGTCAAAGGAATTGTCCGTAGAGCTCCGAGACAGGATTGTGTCGAGGCACAGATCTGGGGAAGGGTACCAAAACATTTCTGCAGCATTGAAAGTCCCCAAGAACACAGTGTCCTCAATCATTCTTAAATGGAAGAAGTTTGGAACCACCAAGACTTTCAGAAGGACAACCATCTCTGCAGCACTCCACCAATCAGGCCTTTATGGTAGAGTGACCAGACGGAAGCCAGTCCTCAGTAAAAAGGCACATGACAGCCCGCTTGTAGTTTGCCAAAAGGCACCTAAAGGACTCTCAGACCATGAGAAACAAGATTCTCTGGTCTGATGAAACCAAGATTTAACTATTTGGCCTGAATGCCAAGCGTCACGTCTGGAGGAAACCTGGCACCATCCCTATGGTGAAGCATGGTGGTGGGAGCATCATGCTGTTGGGATATTTTTCAGCGGCAGGGACTGGGAGACGAGTCAGGATCGAGGGGAAAGATGAACGAAGCAAAGTACAGAAATGAAAACCTGCTCCAGTGCGCTCAGGACCTCAGGCTGGGGCGAAGGTTCACCTTCCAACACTACAATGACCCCAAGCTAACAGCCAAGACAATGCAGGTATGGCTTCAGGACAAGTCTCTGAATGTCCTTGAGTGGTCCAGCCAGAGCCCGGACTTTAACCCGATCAAACATCTCTGGAGAGACCTGAAAATAGCTGTGCGTTGGCGCTTCCCATCTAACCTGACAGAGCTTGAGAGGATCTGCAGAGAATAATGGGAGAAACTCCCCAAATATAGGTGTGCCAACCTTGTAGGGTCATACTCAAGAAGACTCAAGGCTGTAATCGCTGCCAATGGTGCTTTAACAAAGTACTGAGTAAAGGGTCTGAATACTTATGTAAATGTAATATTTCAGTTTTTTTGTTTTAAAACATTTTCAAAATGTATACAAACCTGTTTTTGCTTTGTCATTATGGGGTATTGTGTGCAGATTGCTGAGGGAAAAAACTATTGAATCCATTTCAGAATAAGGCTGTAATGTAAAAGTCAAGGAGTCTGAATACTTTCCGAATGTAATGTATGTAGATACCAGACAACAACGTTTCAATTAAGCCTCTAAAATTGATAAATCAACATATCCACAAGCAACTGGGAGGGTGTGAGTGATCAGTAATGTACAATAGCGAACCAATCAGTTGGTAAAGCGACGCAACGACACAAATCCAATAAGCCATGGCTTCCCTCAGAGGAAAAGACGATCAACTTGGAGGCACAAACGAGAGTTATGAACAGTTAAAGGCGATCCAGGAAAACTTAGCTAAAATGCTCTCAATGCACACCAAAACAAACAAACTGCAACAATATGTTATTAAAAAGTAGATTAGCTCGAAAATAAAGAGGTTATCGTGTCAGACACGCACAAACACGGTGTGTGCATGAACGAACAAGATAACAAAATATGCCTTTTGGAAACAAAGTTGCAAACTTTAGAAGATGAATTGGACCATTAAGAAAACAGAATAAGACAAAACAACATGAGAATATTGTCCTTACTAGAGGACGAGGCAAAAGGAGACCTTTCCAGCTACGTGGTCAAACTGATATCAGAGGAACTTGACGTGGATATATCACCAGAAGATCTTGAAGGATGCCATAGGATCGGCGTGAAACAGAAGAATGTTAAATACCCACGCATGGTAACCTTCAAACTGTGGAACTATCAGACCAAAATAAACATTCTGAGGGCACAGTGGGGAAAGGAGATCAAAATCCACAGTCAGTCCATTCGATTCGTCCAGCACCTGTCTGCTAAGCTGAGAGAGAGACGCAAGGAATACATTCCAATAAGATAGTCACTTGAGGAAAAGTCTCAACTCTGCTTCCCGGCAGTGCTGTGGGAAGGGAACGCAAAGGATGGAATTCACAAGCCCCAATGAAGCCCTAATCAAGCTACACGAAATGTTCCTAGAAACCTTCCCAGTTGAAGTAGGAGAGCCCCCTGCTCTGAGAAGAGGACGAAATAGGAAAAAACGATGAGCACACTAGGCTACATACAGTGATTACTAAGACCAGCTTATCGTAAGTTGAGACCATATCCTTTCCTCCTTCCCCCAATACAATCTATACTCTACATTCCCCAAAGTAACAATAGAAGTAGCCGATGCCAATGGGCTACATGGACACTGAAAATACAATTCAAAGGTGGAAATGTAGAATGTATGTCAATAACTGTTCTATGGATGTGTGTGTAGATGTGTATGTGATTGTGTATATGAATGGGAGTGTGAGGGATGGTGAATATGAATATGTGTAGAATGGTGGGAGAGAATTGGTGTATGGATGCATAGGGTATATGTTGGGGGGAAATGAATGAGAATTGATGAGTAAGTCGATGTATGGGTGTAAGTGTGTCAGAGGTAGGGAGGGTGGGAAAAGATGGGAGGTTGGGACAAGCTTAGCTTGGGTGGGCAAGGATGGGAGGTTGGGACAAGCTTGGCAAGGGTGGGTAAGGATGGGAGATTGGGACAATCTTGGCTTGGGTGGGGTAAAGGTGGGATAAAACAGGGAAGGGGAGGTGGAGAGGCGGAGAGGGATGGGTTTGGCTTGGGAGAGGGAGAGGGAGAAGAAAGGATTTAACTACAGTGCCTTCAGAAAGTATTCATATCTCTTGACTTATTTCACATTTTGTTGTGTTACAGCCTGAATTCAAAATGGATTAACCTTTTGACGCGTAAGTTCTAAATATTAATAACAGCCCTTACAGCGTGAGTTATTTTTGCACGCAGTACCAGAATTCTATGCTGCTGTTTTAGAATTTGATTGTTGCATTTTGCCACTATTCTCTGCACCCCTCACTCCATCAAGACTGCAATATCTGCTTCATATGAGGCTTTATAAAACAAATCCTTTCTTCTTATAGTAGTAGCAGCGAATATCTATAGTATTATTAATAATTGTATAATTATTATTATCATCTATATTAGATGTATTATTATCTGAAAGAGGCTTTGGTATTAGCCTGTCTGAGGGACTGCGTGTGTGAGATAGGGTGGGAAACCTGAGGTGCAACATTTGCACATAAATCATTCAATCTAACCCATAACACATTAACCACCTAGACAACATATTGACTTGAACAAGGAAGAGAGAAAATACGTTTAATACTTTCACACCACCCTTGATGAAAATGAGATTGGGGCAAGGACCACCAAGCCCCTACTGTCAATGTCCCAATTGTGGTTAGCCCAAGCTAATAATAACCTCCCTAGATTCCCACAAATACTGGATTCCCACAAATACTTAATTAGTTTCCAAAAAACACCTGCAGGATGAGCAGTGTACCCGCCCCTCACTTTGTGCTCTCCTCACAGTTTACGGGCAGCTCTGTCTCTCCTTCTCACCTTTCCGAATCATAATTAGAACTATTGATAAATTATCCAACCCAAATTTGGTATGACCGTCCCTAGTGCTTCACGTTGAGTCTATCACACAAATTTAAGGTCCTCAACTTAGCACACACCAACAATGGCAGAATGTACATTGACATACAGTATATTTATCTTTATATTTCTAGCATTAACCTTTCTCATCACGGCCCCCATAATGACAGATCGGTATCTCAATGCATTTTTGGTCTAAAATACTATACATTTCGCAGTGTGCAGACCCCCACAATCAACCTGATACCCCACATGAACAATTTTGGACAAGCCTAAATCAATTACAGGCACGGTTGACCACTCCCCTCCCTCCCGGCACTCATTCTTCTGGCTTTTCTTCATTTTCTTCTTCAGATAACTTTACAGTTCATCCTCCCAATGGAACACATATAACTCATGCATGTCAAAGTGGATGGCCCTTGATAATGTCCCGATTTCAATATCTGGAGAATAATCTGATTTTCCCTAGCGAACGAATCTCTCACCTAAGCCACCACCACCATCCTTTATGGTCCATTCTGTCTTGTCCATTTTCTAACCAGTACACCAGCAGCATGAGAGAAGTTTAGATGTGGTCTCTCTCCATGCTCACTCCACTTGGACGGTCTCGGGACTCATGACGCACTCCTGAGAAACAAGGCAGTTGATAGCTTCAACTGGATGCTGTACACCGGTTGCTGACTCAGACTCAGGTCTCAGGTAGAAGTGGTGAAGGACAGGGCCATAGTGAACGCCATAACTTCAGCCGAGGGGGGTGAGGCTCACACTGTTCTCGGTCGAATTATCCCTTTCATGCATCTAGATACCATCTGTGGTCACCTTCGCCATAACCTCAAGAGGGGACAGACCAGAACAACAGTTTAGGGCATTTCTGATTCAGGAAATCTAGACAAACTATTCACTGTATGACAAATGATTACATTCCCAATATTCTTAATACAAATTTCTAAGACAAATCTCAAAGAGAATAACAACACACTATTGAAACCATTTAGCAAATTGGCTTATACTCCCCTATCATATTGGCGACCTCACTGCAGAGTTACATGGTCAGGGAGATAGAGAGCTAACCCTTAGGGAGACATCCCGACCATACAGCAGACCCAATCTGATGAGATTTGTTATTGAAGCAAGACAAAAACAAACAAAACAAAACAACAGCAATACACATATCACTCGAGGTGTGGAAAACCTCAATCCATTTGGAGTAACTGTCAACCATTACCAACATATATTTGTTCCTTTTACAGGCAGGCTTGAAGAAAATCAATTTGCATATTTACCAAAGGGCCCAAGGGGACTGGTAATTCCCCCTTTGGACACATGACTCACATCGTGATTCATGCGTCCAAAAAACATCAACAACATTGCCTGTTAAATCAAAATAACAGATAAAATTAAAATTACAACCCTTGATAACCCAATCTCAACTTAATTGTATCCCATAACGTAATTCAAGGAATAGTAAAATAGACTAGAGACAGGTGTCCCTCATTCAGGGGCAGCACTCTCTCTCTGTCCTTCTCGTGGTTCCGAATCACACATAGGACTATTGTTAAATTATAATCTTTTTCCTAATCATTAGTATTTACATAGCCCATTTAAATCTCACCCAATGTCTCTCTCTAGTCTTTCTAGTGTGGGTGATCAGGTCTCACCAGAAAGTCAGAAGAGGTCAGAGTTCATTCAACCCCATTAAGTGAGTGTGTCTTTCCCTTTTCTTCCCCTGTACCTCAGACATTATTTAAAGACATTTCAAACATTTAGTGTACCAGATTTATATTGGGTTTTTCAGTACATTTCTTATCAGGGGAATTTACAGTGGGGAAAAAAAGTATTTAGTCAGCCACCAATTGTGCAAGTTCTCCCACTTAAAAAGATGAGAGAGGCCTGTAATTTTCATCATAGGTACACGTCAACTATGACAGACAAAATGAGAAAAGAAAATCCAGAAAATCACATTTTAGGATTTTTAATGAATTTATTTGCAAATTATGGTGGAAAATAAGTATTTGGTCAATAACAAAAGTTTCTCAATACTTTGTTATATACCCTTTGTTGGCAATGACACAGTTCAAACGTTTTCTGTAAGTCTTCAAGGTTTTCACACACTGTTGCTGGTATTTTGGCCCATTCCTCCATGCAGATCTCCTCTAGAGCAGTGATGTTTTGGGGCTGTCGCTGGGCAACACAGACTTTCAACTCCCTCCAAAGATTGTCTATGGGGTTGAGATCTGGAGACTGGCTAGGCCACTCCAGGACCTTGAAATGCTTCTTACGAAGCCACTCCTTCGTTGCCCGGGCGGTGTGTTTGGGATCATTGTCATGCTGAAACACCCAGCCACGTTTCATCTTCAATGCCCTTGCTGATGGAAGGAGGTTTTCACTCAAAATCTCACGATACATGGCCCCATTCATTCTTTCCTTTACACGGATCAGTCGTCCTGGTCCCTTTGCAGAAAAACAGCCCCAAAGCATGATGTTTCCACCCCCATGCTTCACAGTAGGTATGGTGTTCTTTGGATGCAACTCAGCATTCTTTGTCCTCCAAACACGACGAGTTGAGTTTTTACCAACAAGTTCTATTTTGGTTTCATCTGACCATATGACATTCTCCCAATCCTCTTCTGGATCATCCAAATGCACTCTAGCAAACTTCAGACGGGCCTGGACATGTACTGGCTTAAGCAGGGGGACACGTCTCGCACTGCAGGATTTGAGTCCCTGGCGGCGTAGTGTGTTACTGATGGTAGGCTTTGTTACTTTGGTCCCAGCTCTCTGCAGGTCATTCACTAGGTCCCCCCGTGTGGTTCTGGGATTTTTGCTCACCGTTCTTGTGATTATTTTGACCCCACGGGGTGAGATCTTGCGTGGAGCCCCAGATCGAGGGAGATTATCAGTGGTCTTGTATGTCTTCCATTTCCTAATAATTGCTCCCACAGTTGATTTCTTCAAACCAAGCTGCTTACCTATTGCAGATTCAGTCTTCCCAGCCTGGTGCAGGTCTACAATTTTGTTTCTGGTGTCCTTTGACAGCTCTTTGGTCTTGGCCATAGTGGAGTTTGGAGTGTGACTGTTTGAGGTTGTGGACAGGTGTCTTTTATACTGATAACAAGTTCAAACAGGTGCCATTAATACAGGTAACGAGCGGAGGACAGTGGAGCCTCTTAAAGAAGAAGTTACAGGTCTGTGAGAGCCAGAAATCTTGCTTGTTTGTAGGTGACCAAATACTTATTTTCCACCATAATTTGCAAATAAATGCATAAAAAAATCCTACAATGTGATTTTCTGGAGAAAAAAATTTCTCAATTTGTCTGTCATAGTTGACGTGTACCTATGATGAAAATTACAGGCCTCTCTCATCTTTTTAAGTGGGATAACTTGCACAATTGGTGGCTGACTAAATACTTTTTTTCCCCACTGTACATGTGTGCAACCAAAACTCTGACAAAATAAACTTCAAAAAATGTCATTTATGTGCCCTTTACGGTGCATCCTTTCTCACCTGTGAAGAACCCACTAAAACTAATAAAAAGACCCCACACAATAAATCAGACACTGTATTAACATCATAAACAAATATTAATAACAGGTGGATTGTGTGTACGTGTGCTGATGTGTGTAGGGCGTAAACAAACAAATGTACAGGCCTTACTTAATTGGGAGCTCTCTTTACGGCCGGATCTGGGTACCTTTATACTTAATAGAGCTGCAGAATTTCACTATTTGCTCTCCCAAGGCAACAGCCTCGGGAAACATTTCAAAGGGAGAGATAGGGACACCCCATCCTCTCCTAGAAGAGAAAATAAACATTGAGTTAGTTTTCACTTTGCCAAATCTTAATCAGTAACAAAATGTTTTAGTTACAGACAAAACAAAACATGATGACTTCTGTTCACAGGGAGGCCACTGTCCTCACTCCACTCTTTAATCATTTGTGTACTAACTGTAAGTCGCTCTGGATAAGAGCGTCTGCTAAATGACTAAAATGTAACATGTAATGTGTTTTAATCCATCCCAACGTTTACTGTATATACTATCAATCTCTGTTGGATATTCACTATTTGCTTCACACTCATTAATGTCTACTATTTAAAGATTAATATGCACTAAACCGAGACAGATCTACTCTTTAACAAAATTTTAAAAGGTAATTTTAGGTTTGGTAACCCCAATGACACAATTTCTTTGTTAAACTCTACAATTACAATTGTTTCTTTAACTCTCCAAACAATTACTCACAATATTACTCCACTCTAATAACAATTGTTTCTTTATCTCTACAAACTAGTTTTCACAATATTAATTACACTCTAATTTCTCATGAGGACCCCTCCTCCCTTTTGTCAATTCTGTAAATCTATTTCAGAATAAGACGGAATAAAATGTCTCACGAAATTAAAATCCCCCCACGGTTTTCTGAGCTTGCGAGGAGTGTTTGGTCGTGCCAATTGTAATTTGTTACCTTTTAGAATCCATTGGCCTGGAATTTCGCAAAGTCGGTTCTACCCCCGCTACGATAACGAATGAGCCCGGTATTATTACTGGACCTATCGTAAACAGCATGGGTAGTAATTGCATAGCTTTAGATTCTGTCCCTGTTACCCCGCTAAATGTAATACTTTTTTATCGTAAATTTAGCCAATTTGACGACCGCTCAGAGGCCACATTCCCCTATGTGTTACTCCCAACTGTGGCCGCTTTCAGGAGTGCTTGCTGTTGCTCACTAGTCAGTGAAGAAAATGTCTGCACAGCCGCACTTAACCCGGAATGAGCCGGCACAGAGGGCTCAAGCACCACTGTACAGTCTTTCACCCAATGGCCAAATGCGCCGCATTGGTGACAAGGTTCGGTGGCTTTTCGCTGCCGAATGTATTTGTTGTCAGATTTACCTCTCCGCTTGATTTTATTTTTCTTACTCTTGAACTCATTACTGGTGCCTGGGGTATGTTTAGCAGCGACTACACACACTGCTAAGTGAGCAGAATTAGATTCCGCTCTCAATGCGGCCACCCTTGCAATAGCAGTTTTGACTGTGGGTTTCAACCCTGCCATCAAAGCGGAGGTACAAATTACCGCATCTTCATTAAAATGATCTGCTAGTGCCAGATTAGTGCGCAACGCATCTTCCATCCTATCAACATACTCACGTACCTCCTCATTTTGACTCTGAGGGCGGAACAAAATATTTCCAGTAGCTGTCACAAATAGTTCAATTTGTTCCTGCGAGGTTGCTTGGTCACATGCCAGACGAGCAGACGACCAGGCGGGAGTATGGTAGTTTCCGACTAATTGTGCCAGCATTGCTCTTGGCAATAGGGAACGGACAACATGATCATAATAAATCATAATACATTCCTGACCCTCTTTAACCGGGTCAGGCGCTTCTTTCATTATGCTAAGCATTTCACCAATACTCAGCGGCTGGTGTTGGTGTTGAATTTGGAGTCGTTATAGGTTGGCCATCTGGCAGAATGGGGTTCCCTCCCTCTGGGAGTATCTGCCCGGGGTATTAAGTCATCGCAACTGCATGAGTACAAACCGGGCACACCTCTCTATGGTTTCCAGGACTACTATGTCTGGACTGGTGATACGTCCCTCTTCTGCCTCTCAACCCGTAACGCTCTTTTTCGTCTATGAGAAAGGGATATAGCGGAGACATGACCTGTTTAGCCTGGTATACATGATATCCTGGGGCGAACGGTGGGGAGGTGGCGAGACTATATACCCCCCCACAGGTGTTCTGATACTGCTGGAGGGTAGCCATAAGTTGTTGGACTTGATTTTGATTATTTTCCAGAGCCCTCACGAGGTCCTGGTTCTGTTCATCCAATTTATGAGCCCGCCCTTTTGCTATTGCTAATTTTTTACTAGTTGCCCCATACTTGCCAGTCGCCTGGACAAGATGACCCTGCATATCTTTAATTTGAGCTTTATCGGTTCTACTTTTCTGTTAATAAAACGCCGACATCAAAACGCTTGTATATTGAGCTTGCGATTTCTCATTGAGGTAATTGTGCCATGCCACAACAGCATCTCTGAGTTCTTTATCTGATTGGAATTTTCCATCAGCAGGGAAATGCTGACCAATTTGATCAAATTTGCTAAATTTTCCCCATACTCGAGCCAGTGTTTGTGCGCTTCTTTTAGCGCATCCATGGCTTTGCTATAGTTTTCCTCTTCTATTCCCCCTTTTACGGGAGTGTCAGACACCATGGATGCCATTTCAATGGTGGTTATTTCTGCACCTCTCTCGACGGTGTCTAGGGTGTTTTAGATTTCCTCACTCATGGCTCTAATACACAATCGACACAATCGGTTTCTAATAACTTCTTAATGCCACGGTTCTTCTACAGTTACCGTATACATTTCCACCTACTGACAGTCTCATCCTTGACAGACACTACTGCCAGAAATCGCCTATACCCCACTCCGGGTATTAATATATCAGGTATTACCAAACGACAGAGACTTTCGGCATTGACTACTTTTCTACAACCAAACATACTAGTATATGGATGTGCCAATTTCTCCAAATACCATATAGACTACAGACACTTATCTAACCTATTAGGGGGGGTTAATTCCTCCTAAGCACATAGTGCCCGCATATCTCCAGTCTAACCTATTAGGGGGCTAAACCCTCCAGAACACGCTGTGCCCGCAGTGCTCTAGTCTAACCTATTAGGGGGCTAAACCCTCCTGAACACACTTTCTGGCACACTCAACAAAATTGTTCTGCATGTCCACTTTGTCAACTGCTCCCATCTTCTTGTTGTACTCCAAGACACAGTCTGGCTTCATTTTCCTCTCTATGGTGACATAGTCCAGTTTTCCTATGTCCGACATTTTGGAGGTGTGCACAGTGGACAGAACATGGACATTGCGTTTGTCGTGCCATTTCACTGTCATTATCTCCCCGTTCGTTTGGAACTTCACCTCCCCCTTGCTCATTTTCTTTTTGAATATTGACTGTGCCAAAGGCCCCTGTGTTCTCCCTCAAAAAGATACTGGAAAAGAGTAGAGATAATGTACCAGTTGTCCACAAATACATTGCGCCCCTTTCTGAGGTAAGCCTGCCAGTGGAGGCTGGTGGGAGGAGCTATAGGAGGACAGGCTCTGTGTAATGGCTGGAATGGAATACATGGAACGGAGTCAAACGTGGTTTCCATATGTTTGATGTGTTTGATACTGTTCCATTTATTCCATTCCAGCCATTATACTCCACTAGAGGCTGCAGCATGGTGATCACCACTGATCCAGATATGCCAAGACCATCAACATGCGTTATATCTGTGGTGACGCCGGTGTAGATAATCAGGTCCTGTACATGTCAGACAGTCACATAAAACAAAGAACTTGACTCCAAATCTGTGATGCTTTGATAGGATGCAAGCTTCCCTTTCCAAGCCATGAGAAACTCATCAATGCACATGTCCTTGTGAGGCAAAAATTATCTTCCAAATGCCCTGGTCAAGCTGCCCAGGACATTCCTAATTCTGTGAACGGGCTCGGCGACGTTGGCAGTGGCGTTGTTCACAAAGTGGAGTGCTCTCAGCAAGACAATGAAGCGGTTCTGGGAGAAAAGGGTTGGGAAAAAAGGGGTCTGCATCATGGGGTCAGTGGTCCAGTAGTCCCTCATGGAGTCCTTCTTCACTAGCCCCATCAGCAGCACCGTGACCAGGAAGGGACAGTGCCTTGCAAAAGGTATTCATCCCCCTTGGCGTTTTTCCTATTTTGTTGCATTACAACCTGTAATTTAAATGGATTATTATTCTGATTTCATGTAATGGACATACACAAAATAGTCCAAATTGGTGATGTGGAATGAAAAAAATAACTTGTTTCAAAAAATTCTAAAAAAGTAATGACGGAAAAGTGGTGCGTGCATATGTATTCACCCCCTTTGCTATGAAGCCCCTAAATAAGATCTGGTGCAACCAACTACCTTTAGAAGTCACATAATTAGTTAAATAAAGTCCACCTGTGTGCAATCTAAGTGTCACATGATCTGTCACATGATCTCAGTATATATACACCTGTTCTGAAAGGCCCCAGAGTCTGCAACACCGCTAAGCAAGCTCTCCAAACAGGTCAGGGACAAAGTTGTGGAGAAGTACAGATCAGGGTTGGGTTATAAAAAAATATCAGAAACTTTGAACATCCCACGGAGCACCAGAATATGGCACCACATCAAACCTACCAAGAGAGGGCTGCCCACCAAAACTCACAGACCAGGCAAGGAGGGCATTAATCAGAGAGGCAACCAAGACACCAAAGATAACCCTGAAGGAGCTGCAAAGCTCCACAGCGGAGATTGGAGTATCTGTCCATAGGACCACTTTAAGCCATACACTACACCGAGCTGGGCTTTACAGAAGAGTGGCCAGAAAAAAGCCATTGCTTAAAGAAAAAAATAAGCAAACACGTTTGGTGTTCGCCAAAAGGCATGTGGGAGACTCCCCAAACATATGGAAGAAGGTACTCTGGTCAGATGAGACTAAAATTGAGCTTTTTGGCTATCAAGGAAAACGCTATGTCTGGCGCAAACCCAACACCTCTCATCACCCTGAGAACACCATCCCCACAGTGAAGCATGGTGGTGGCAGCATCATGCTGTGGGGATGTTTTTCATTGGCAGGGACTGGGAAATTGGTCAGAAATGAAGGAATGATGGATGGCGCTAAATACAGGGAAATTCTTGAGGGAAACCTGTTTCAGTATTCCAGAGATTTGAGACTGGGACGGAGGTTCACCTTCCAGCAGGACAATGACCCTAAGCATACTGCTAAAGCAACACTCGAGTGGTTTAAGGGGAAACATTTAAAAGTCTTGGAATAGCCTAGTCAAAGCCCAGACCTCAATCCAATTGAAAAACTGTGGTATGACTTAAAGATTGCTGTACACCAGTGGAACCCATCCAACTTGAAGGAGCTGGAGCAGTTTTTCCTTGAAGAATGGGCAAAAATCCCAGTGGCTAGATGTGCCAAGCTTATAGAGACATACCCCAACAGACTTACAGCTGTAATTTCTGCAAAAGGTGGCTCTACAAAGTATTGACTTTGGGGGGGGGTGAATAGTTATGCACACTCAAGTCTTTCTTTCTTTTTTGTCTTATTTCTTGTTTGTTTCACAAAAAAAAGTATTTTGCATCTTCAAAGTGGTAGGCATGTTGTGTAAATCAAATGATACAAACCCCCCAAAAATCCATTTTAATTCAAGGTTGTAAGGCTACAAAATAGGAAAAATGCCAAGGAGGTGAATACTTTCGCAAGCCACTGTATACATTTCACTGATGGTAGTGTTCACCCATTTTGAGAGCTTCCCTTTTACACCAGGGGCAGTCTTCTCTTTCAGTTAATGGGAATACCTGCAAACAAATATGCATATTTAGTAGGCTAAAGGCATTCTGAATTTTGATACATTTGAAGAACCTTGGGTTTTTCTGTAATATGAAATGGGCATACCTGTTGGTTTCCTGCACCACACTCTCCACCAATTCCTCATCAAGGAAGAGTTTAAAACACTCTGTCTCTGGGGGTGGCAGGGTGCTTTGTACGCAGACAGGGTGTCATTGAAGTCTATCTCTGATGGTGTGAAGTGACAGGATCTCCAGCAGCGGGGACCATCCTCCTCAACTTCAATCTCTTCTCCCTTTAAATTCTACAAGATTGGCAGCAGCACCAGCATCTTGGGAAGGTGAAGGGATGCTCATTGCCTGCAAGGTTGGGGTGGGCAACATTGTCCTCAGATATTCCTCTTCACTTTTTGATTGATCCGATTCACTCTCATACACAGATTCTTCATCAGAATTACAAAATATTTATTGTATCTCATCAGTGAGGCATTTCCTTTTGAAACTGGACATTATATCTATACACAATGGCTATCAGTGTCTGTCAAGAGTTACGTTTTTCTGTCAGGACTGACTTAGATTGTAACTATGGTTACTCAGGGTTGCCAGCTCAGACCCCCCTTTCCAGGGGTTTTATTTTTATTCAGTTTATAAACTTCTCCTGTGTTTGCCCCCCATTTATTGATAAATCCCTCATCATAGTAATATTTCCTCCATCATATCCCCCACGATACCTTCCCCCATTTCTACCCCCCATGGACTTGAAACCCCCCCACAGATGAAATGAACCTTCACACAAACCCCCGTAAAATAGTTTCGCCCAAATCTGGCAACCCTGTTTAGCTTTCGCGCTACGGCTAGGCTAGGCAGTAGGCTTGTATTTGGGGTGATGATCTGTGAGGTGATCTGCTTTGTGTTTGTCAAAAACTGTAAACGACTTGTAAAGTCATGTGCTCCGGTTCTTGTATACACTGTAACAAGCACATCAAAGATTTGTAATATGCTGAAAAGTGGCCAAACTAAGTTGATATTTTTCTGGGCAATGGGCGCAGCCTACTTTGACTTTGTTTATTTGCATGTTATAGTGAATGTAATTCTGGCATTAGGGAGTTTTTGCTTGTCAAACATAAAAAAACATGTCTGCCATCATAAAGAATTAGGCTGCTGTTAGCTTAGCTGACACTTATCTATTTTCTAAACAATATTACATTTCTCCCTTGTGCTCACGAGAGATGTGGTACATTGTAAACAAGTCTAGCTGTTAGGTCGCTAACTTATGTTTTGTTTTTTGTCAGCACAACCTGTTATTTAGACTGGTTTATGGAATGGGTTTGGCTCTGGATGTGTTCCGTGTGATGCTTGGATGATGAAGTTCGCATCTATCTTTTACAATAAAAGGTGAAATTGAGGAAGAAATTCGAAGACCTTTATTTTCCATCATTACAAAACATTGTTTAGACGCTTTTCAGACAACAATGCTGTTTAGACGCTGTTTAGTTAAAATTGTAACTAGGCCACTCAGGAACATTCAATGTAATCTTGGTAAGCAACTGCAATGTATATTTGGCCATGTGTTTTAGGTTATTGTCCTGCTGAAAGGTGAATGTGTCTCCCAGTGTCTATTGGAAAGCAGAATGAACCAGGTTGTCCTCTAGGACTTTGCCTTTCCGTTTCTTTTTATCAAAAAAAAAAACTCCCTAGTACTTGCCGATACCAAGCATACCCATAACATGATGCAGCCACCAACATGCTTGAAAATATGAAGAGTGGTACTCAGTGATGTGTTGTGTTGGATTTGCCACAAACATAACACTTTGTATTCAGGAAATAAAGTTAATTTCTTTGCCATATTTTTTGCAGTTTTACTTGCCTTATTGCAAGCAGGATGCATGTTTTGGAATATTTTTACTCTGTACATGCTTCCTTCTTTTTACTCTGTCATTTAGGTTAGTATTGTGGAGTATCTACAATGTTGTTGATCCATCCTCAGTTTTCTCCTATCACACCCATTAAACTGTAACTGTTTTAAAGTCACCATTGGCCTCCCTGTGCGGTTTCCTTCCTCTCCGGCAACTGAGTTAGGAAGGATGCCTGTATCTTTGTAGTGACTGGGTGTATTGATACACCATCCAAAGTGTAAAGTAATAACTTCACCATGCTCAAAGGGATATTCAATGTCTACTTCTTTATTTTTACACATCTACAGTGAGGGAAAAAAGTACTTGATCCCCTGCTGATTTTGAACGTTTGCCCACTGACAAAGAAATGATCAGTCTATAATTTTAATGGTAGGTTTATTTGAACAGTGAGAGACAGAATAACAAAAAAATCCAGAAAAACGCATTTCAAAAATGTTATAAATTGATTTGCATTTTAATGAGGGAAATACATATTTGACCCCCTCTCAATCAGAAAGATTTCTGGCTCCCAGGTGTCTTTTATACAGGTAACGAGCTGAGATTAGGAGCACACTCTTAAAGGGAGTGCTCCTGATCTCAGTTTGTTACCTGTATAAAAGACACCTGTCCACAGAAGCAATCAATCAATCAGATTCCAAACTCTCCACCATGGCCAAGACCAAAGAGCTCTCCAAGGATGTCAGGGACAAGATTGTAGACCTACACAAGGCTGGAATGGGCTACAAGACCATCGCCAAGCAGGTTGGTGAGAAGGTGACAACAGTTGGTGCGATTATTCGCAAATGGAAGAAACACAAAAGAACTGTCAATCTCCCTCGGCCTGGGGCTCCATGCAAGATCTCACCTCGTGGAGTTGCAATGATCATGAGAACGGTGAGGAATCAGCCCAGAACTACACGGGAGGATCTTGTCAATGATCTCAAGGCAGCTGGGACCATAGTCACCAAGAAAACAATTGGTAACACACTACGCCGTGAAGGACTGAAATCCTGCAGCGCCCGCAAGGTCCCCCTGCTCAAGAAAGCACATATACAGGGCCGTCTGAAGTTTGCCAATGAACATCTGAATGATTCAGAGGAGAACTGGGTGAAAGTGTTGTGGTCAGATGAGACCAAAATCGAGCTCTTTGGCATCAACTCAACTCGCCGTGTTTGGAGGAGGAGGAATGCTGCCTATGACCCCAAGAACACCATCCCCACCATCAAACATGGAGGTGGAAACATTATGCTTTGGGGGTGTTTTTCTGCTAAGGGGACAGGACAACTTCACCGCATCAAAGGGACGATGGACGGGGCCATGTACCATCAAATCTTGGGTGAGAACCTCCTTCCCTCAGCCAGGGCATTGAAAATGGGTCGTGGATGGGTATTCCAGCATGACAATGACCCAAAACACACGGCCAAGGCAACAAAGGAGAGGCTCAAGAAGAAGCACATTAAGGTCCTGGAGTGGCCTAGCCAACCTTAATGACTTGGAGAAGATCTGCAAAGAGGAGTGGAACAAAATCCCTCCTGAGATGTGTGCAAACCTGGTGGCCAACTACAAGAAACGTCTTACCTCTGTGATTGCCAATGAAGGGTTTTGCCACCAAGTACTAAGTCATGTTTTGCAGAGGGGTCAAATACTTATTTCCCTCATTAAAATGCAAATAAATGTATAACATTTTTGACATGCGTTTTTCTGGATCTTTTTGTTGTTATTCTGTCTCTCACTGTTCAAATAAACATACCATTAAAATGATAGACTGATCATGTCTTTGTCAGTGGGCAAACGTACAAAATCAGCAGGGGATCAAATACGTTTTTCCCTCACTGTACCAATAGGTGCCCTTCTTTGCGAGGCATTGGAAAACCGCCCTGGCCTTTGTGATTGATTATATCTGTGTTTGAAATTCACTGCTCGACTGAGGGACCTTACAGATAATTGTATGTGTTGGGTACAGAGTTGAGGAAGTCATTCAACAATCATGTTCAACACTATTATTGCACACAGAGTCCATGAAACTTATTATGTGACTTGTTAAGCATATTTTTACTCCTGAACTTATTTAGGCTTGCCATAACAAAGGGGTTGAATAGTTATTGACTCTAAACATTTCAGCTTTTCATTTGTAAGTAATTTGTAAAAAATTCCTAAAAACATAATTCCCTTTAAAACCTTAAGGGGTTTTTGTGTCCGGCTTGTAACACAACAACAATGTGGAAAAAGTCAAAGGGGTGTGAAATACTTTCGAAGGCCTTATGAAAATCCCCTCAATACAAAAGGTGACATTCTGTTCTGTCGCCTCATATAAACATTTGATGTAAAATCCAAAATGCTGGAATATAGAGCCAATTAAAAGTTTTTGATTCTCTGTATTCTAGATGAATTCGACACAAAATGTGCAGACACAATGATTAAGCTCCTGAGTGGGCTCGCACGCTTCGCAGGCACTGTCCACATCCGGTTAATCCAGCTTGTCGCAGACCACGGAGACTCATCATTGGCCAGCGTGTCCAGGGTAGGGGGGAATGGCGGAGGGATGTAGCTCGTTGATGAGCATGGTTTTAACGCCAGGGTGTGGGTTCTAGGGGCCAGATAAAAATAATAATGTAGTCGCCTGATGGTTGACCATTGTAAAAATGGGGGAAAAATCTGAACTATGGTCTTGGGGAAAAATCAATCAAGTTAAGGTCATTATTACTCAACTAAACAATCCAACCTGAACCAAGTGAAATGTTTATGGCTGAGCAGCAGTTTTGTGATCAATATAATTTAGATTATTGAGATCAGAGCTGATATTGATTAATCAGATATTGATCAGAGCTGTTGTGTGTGTTATGGGTGTGGCGGTAGTGTTGAGGTTAGAGAGGCAGACTGGTAGCTGGAGGGTTGCCGGTTTGAACCACCCAGCTGCCTGCGGGGTACTGTGACAGCAAAAAATTAAGCAATTGTGTTGTAGTTATAGGATGCTGGAGCGGACAGGGGGAGTGGACGAGAGCGGGGTGCTGCGATGGGAACTCTTCCTCCTTCTCCTTTTGGCCTGGATCCTCATCTACCTCTGCATCTTCAAGGGGGTCAAGTCAACAGGGAAGGTAAGAGAGAGAGAAAGAGAGGCTGACAGAGAGAGATAGATCAGGACTAGTTTCACTATGGTATGCTTGCCAAGTCAAAAAAGAGGAGTGAGTATATGTTCTTATCTCTGTTTAATTTTTTACTCTTAGGTCGACAGAACATTTGGCTCTATTACATTGATTCAGCATTAGTACACATTGTTGCCATCGTGAACATTTTCTAATATCATCTTTCTGTTTGTGTGTGTCCAGGTGGTATACTTCACGGCTCTCTTCCCGTATGTCATCCTGTTAGCTCTGTTGATAAACAACGTCCAGCTTCCAGGAGCTATGGAAGGCATCCGCTTTTTCATCGTGCCAAACTGGGAGAAACTCCTGGAGTTGGAGGTAAGAGGAGGGAGGTACAGACCCAAACCCTAACCTTAAAGGCAAAGTTTGCTTTTTTACAACCAAATCTCTATGTTTTATGTAAATGACATGTTATAGAATGGTCCAGATGATTTTTGTTCTTGATTTCACTTGTTTTTGAGAAACTTACCCCAACCAGATTCACTTCCCCAATCACAAACCCTGGATTAACACTGAGGTTGGTGCTAAGCTAAAGGACAGGGCTACCGCACACAGGGCTATCGCAGAAATTGTGTACACATGAAATTGTGTTATTCCGAACTTTATCCGCAACGTTATATTCAATTTTGTACAACTCGAGCTGTTCCATTCTCCGTGTAGCCTGCTAATAGAATCCCATAATAAAATGGAATATAACGTTGCGGATAAAATTCGGAATGACACAGACCTGCATATACTGAGAGCTTTTCCGTTTCTAAAATGACGCATTTGGGTGTTTCTGGAGCCTCTGTTTATGTTTTTTTCGGAGCCCCTGTACTGCACAACGAGGATGAGGAAGTGAGTTGCTGGTTGGGGTAAAATCGCAAAAAAAGTGTCTGGTCCCGGTTCAACCCTAACCACAACCCTAACCCTAGTTTCATGTCCACATCCCGGTTCAACCCTTACCATCAACCATAACCACAACCCGAACCCTAGCTTCATGTCCACATCCCAGTTCAACCCTAACCCTAGCCTCAACTACAACACTAACCCTAACTTTATGTTCACATCCCGGTTCAACCCTAATCCTTGCCTCAACCACAACCTTATTGGGCAAAACATAATCCGAAACACAACCAAAACAAACTGCAAATACGTCCAACCAGTTTGTAGTCACAAGCTTGATGTAGTCATTGTGTGCAAGGAATACGGACCAAATACTAAACCTTAGTATCACGTTTCAGGAGAAGACCCAGATGCAGACAGTGTCCCAGTAACAAAAGTTAATTACAAAAACAGGGGGCAGGCAAACGACAGGTCAAGGGCAGGCAGAGGTCAGTAATCCAGATCAGAGTCCAAAAGGTACAGAACGGCAGGCAGTCTCAGGGTCAGGGCAGGCAGAGGTCAATAATCCAGGGTGGTGTGACAAGGTACAGAACGGCAGGCAGGCTCAGGGTCAAGGCAGGCAGAATGGTCAAAACTGGGAAAACTAGAAAACAGGAACTTGAGAAGGACAGGAGCAAGGGGAAAAATGCTGGTAGCCTTGACGAAACAAAACAAACTGGCAACAGACAAACAGAGAACCCAGGTATAAATACACTGGGGATAATGGGGAAGGTGGGCGACACCTCGAGGGGGGTGGAGACAATCACAAAGACAGGTGAAACAGATCAGGGTGAGACACTACATTTATACACTATAAGTGAATTTTTCTAAATACTTATGACTTCTTCAAATAGGATGACTAGATACATAAAGTGCTTTCATTTCTAAGTTTCGAGCCAAATAAAAAAAGTAGCTTAACTGTCCAAATACATATGGTGTTAAGTGTATGAGTTACATGAGCTACTTCAATGAGTAATGAAGAGGTACAGTATAGGCTACACACCGGGGCAATTGTATAAATTGAGCAGTATAATAAGAGTCTGGTAGCAGCAGTTGTGATGTGTGTGTGTGTAGCATGAATGAGTATACAAAACATTAAGGACAGCATCCTAATATTGAGTTGTACCCCCCCTTTTGCCCTTAGAACAGCCTCAATTCGTCGGAGCATGGACTCTATAAGGTGTCGAAAGCCTTCCACAGAGATGCTGGCCCATGCTGACTCCACTGCTTCACACAGTTTGGGTGGTGGACCATTCTTGATACACATAGGAAACTGTTGAGCGTGGAAAAACCCAGCAGTGTTGCAGTTCTTGACACAAACCAGTGTGCCTGGAACCTACTACCATACCCTGTTCAAAGGCACTTAAATCTTCTGTCTTGCCCATTCACCCTTTGAATGGCACACATACTGTACACAATCCATGTCTCAATTGTCTCAAGGCTTAAAAATCATTCGTTAACCTGTCCCCTCCCCTTCATCTATACTGATTGAGGTGGATTAAAAAAGTGACATCAATAAGGGATCATAGCTTTCACCTGGATTTACCTGGTCAGTCTATGCCATTGAAAGACCATATGTCCTTAATGTTTTGTACAATCAGTGTATATGTGTGTGTGTCTATGTCTGAGTGGGTGTGTGCATGAGTGAGTGCATGTGTGCTAAGGTGTGGAGAATCAGAGCAGGTGGTCAGTCCAGGGCCCGGTTTCCCAAAAGCATCTTAAGGCTACGTTCATCATTAGAACCTTCGTAGGAGCATTGTTAGATCTCCGAGCTGTTTCCCAAAACCGTCATTAGATGTTTTTTTTGTCATTCCGCGTCATTTTATACACAGAAGATCTCTGCTAAACACAAAATCAAGATGTTTATCTGTCTTTCTGTGACAGCTGTTAACTTCAGAAGAAATGTGACAGTGACTACAAATACAAAGCTGCCCATTTCTTTGCATTACAAGCGAAGGATATAAAACAGAGATACCTGTATTATTCCCACGGGGGGCCAGTATAAAAAAAATATGTATTCACTAACTGTAAGTCGCTCTGGATAAGAGCGTCTGCTAAATGACTAAAATGTAAATGTAAATGTATTAAAAGAAAATACAGTATAGGCTACATAGACCTATATATTTGAATAATATGGAAATCAATTTCCTGTTAATTCAATTGAGTTTTATTTAGCTATTTGTATGCTACTGTCTGTAATTTTAGCTTCAATATATTTCATGTGTAACACTTGTGCAATGATGTGCCAAATCTTGATTTAGTGCATTATTATAGGGTAAGCATTAGAATAAGCCGCCTCAATATTTGTAGCCATTGGTGATTTCTCTCTAGAAGCTGATCTGTAGTTAGTATTGTGGAATAATTATAATGTTAAGGTAAGATTGGAAAGGGAGAATGCTGATCTTAGAGCAGTGCTTCCTTTATTTCGAACCAATCAGTATCGACACATGACTCAAAGACGCACTTAGCGAACCTTCTCTCTGCGTGGCATTTTGGGAAATGTATGTTACATCTTCGGCCGTTGTGGGAAAGATGCATTGTTAAAACACTCGTAAGCCTAAATTCCATCACTATCAGTAGTCAGATGCCTTGTAGATAGAAACTGTCTCTGAGCCTGTTGGTATCAGACCTCATGCTCCGATACCGTCTGCCCGGTCAGGACACTTTCGATGGTGTAGATGTAGTAGTTGGATTTCTTCAGCCACTTTAGGAATTGGAGACGCTGTTGCAACCTCTTGACAATTTGGCAGTACGTCAAAACGGCCTCACAACCGCAGACCACGTGTAACCACGCCAGCCGAGGACCTCCACATCTGGCTTCTTCACCTGCGGGATCATTTGAGGGGGGTGCTGAGAAGGATTTCTGTCTGTAATAAAGCTCTTTTGTGGGGAAAAACAAATTCTGATTGGCTGGGCCTGGGTCCCCAGTGGGTGGGCCTATGCCAGGCCCACCCATGGCTGCGCCCCTGCCCAGTCATGTGAAATCCATAGATTAGGGCCTGATTAATTTATTTCAATTGACTGATTTCCTTTTATGAACGGTAACTAAGCAAAATCTTTGAAATTGTTGCATGTTGCGTTTATATTGTTGTTCAGTATATATATATTTACATTCCAGACATTGTTTCTTAATTTATATATAGAATATTGGGATTGTGTGTGTATTGTTTTTTTATTGCTAGGTATTACTGCACTGTTGGAGCTAGAAACACTAGCATTTCACAAGCATTTCCAATAACCTTTGATTTGATTTTAAGTAAGCCATAGATAAGGATCTAAATCATTTCAGGTAAAGAGGGGTTCGGGAGGAGTTGTTGTGAAGACATGTCGAGGTCGGGTGCTGCTGGTAAAGAGCTTGGATGTGTTATAGTTACCTGCCAGCTAGGGTGATTGTTAGGATAACATTGTTATTATATCAGTGTGGATGAGTTTTATGGTGCTATTGAAGGTACTGTACATTATAAGAGAAATTCCTTGTGTTTTGTTCCAGGTTTGGGTCAACGCTGCAGCTCAGATCTTTAACTCCATTGGGATAGGCTTTGGCTCCCTCATGGCCATGTCCAGCTATAACAACTTCAACAACAACATATTAAAGTGAGCAGCTCACAGTGAGGAGAGTCTGTAGTCAGTTCAAATCAGTTAAAAGTCAGTTCAAATATATTTTCACATTGTTACAGTGTCCGTATTAGGTCAATCTCAGCAGATGCTGTCCTAATATGGACACTGTACATCGTACTGGAGTGATTCATCCATCACATCCCTTTTTTCCCCACAGAGACACCCTGGCTATCTCCATCACCAACTCCCTGACCAGTATTCTGGCAGGTTTTGTCATCTTCTCGGCATTCGGCTACATGTCACATCTCCAGAACATACCTGTCAGTGAGCTGGCTGTAGATGGTGAGTTTGTGTAAGCAGACTAAAGATCATTAAGGGAAGGGAAATACTTTTGGACAGCTGACACAAGACCACCTTTTCTAGTTACAGTGCATGTATTTGAGGCAAAGCATACTAATTTCACCAAGATCGTTCCATAAAAGAGTTTAGACACCAAAGTCATAATAACAGTGCATGTGTGTTCTGAATTATTTTGCACCTAGGTCCAGGACTGGTTTTTGTTGTTTACCCACAAGCCTTTGCAACGATGCCAGTGGCTCCGCTGTGGGCATTTCTGTTCTTCTTCATGCTTCTGTGCCTTGGGCTGGACAGCCAGGTAGCTAACCTTACATTACCTAACCTAAACCCACTGTCACATGATACTAAATACACTTTTCTCTACTTGAAACAGATGCATTTGTCCTCACGTTCTCTTTGTTTGCCCACGTGGTTAAATGATGGTAGTTACTATACATCTTTACTTTGTCGAGTAAATACAATATCCAGTCAAATGTATAATCTTCTTTCACAAATGATTCCAGGAACCAAAAATCTATCTTTAACTACAGCAGTTACAGTTCAAATAGAAAGTAATGCAGTCAGTAATGCAGTCAGTAATGCGGTGTCAAATCAAATCAAATCAAATTGTATTTGTCACATGCGCCGAATACAACAGGTGTAGACCTTACCGTGAAATGCTTACTTACAAGCCATAAACCAACAATGCAGTTTTAAGAAAAATAAGAGTTAAGAAAATATTGACTAAAGAAACTAAAGTAACATTTACATTTTTTTTATAAAATAACAGTAACGAGGTTATATACAGGGGGTACCGGTACCGAGTCAATGTGCGGGGATACAGGTTAGTCGAGGTAATTGAGGTAATATGTACATGTAGGTAGGGGTAAAGTGATTATGTATAGATAAAAAACAGTGGGTAGCAGCAGCAATTTGCAAAAAATTATAATACAAAAAAAAGCTGTGCCTTTATAATAACTTGACAGCCTATCCTTCACATGCAGATAGTGATGTTTAGTTTTCAGTTTGTTTAGTTTTGTCCTACCTGCCAGGTTGAAAGGACAGTCACAAGACTCATCGCCATCAGCCGAATGGCCTCATAAAACAGCCATTAAATGATGAGAAGAGAATGTCAAGATTCTAACTGAAGGGCATTATGTATGAAAAAATGCAAAGTCACTGTTACCAGATAGTTGCAGTTAGAAAGCCTTTATTATAAGTGTAAAACTAACAATGACTCAATAATCCATGCTTTCTGAGAATGCTATAAAGTTATGGGCGGAGCTAGTATTACAATCTTAACTTACTTTTAATCCGTCTGTCTGCATATTTCCAGACATGGAATATGGGAGTGTAGCGAGATACCCAATGGGCTGGACAATTCTCTTTTCATCACTCATCTTGAGAAAACGTAGAAATCAATCAATCCGCCATCATTAACACAATGGAAAAATCAAATGATTTATTATTGAAATAGCATGGGCGACTGAGAAAAACAAATTGGTACAATTTAAGGCCATGTGGCAAACAATAATGCAGGCACAAGGGATGGGGGCGTCAGCATGCGGGTCTGAGCAGATGAGATGTAGTAGTTGTTTGTGTGCGTCTGTAAATTGTTGTTTGTATGTGTATGTTTGTATCTGGTGTGTATATGAACAAAAAATCTATATGTACAAATCCTTTATTATATTGGTATCTCCATGTCAGAAAGTTACCATGTTTTGACAAAATAAAAATATTTCTCAGTTTGCCATGGTGGAGGTGATGGTGACCAGCCTAATGGATGGGTTTGGAGGGCCCCTGCTGAAGTTCCTGAGAAAGAAGGAGATGCTGGTTCTGGCAGTCTGCAGCACTGCCTTTCTGCTGGGGATACCCCATGTCATGCAGGTAACCTGGAGTGTACGGCTTACACTCATCAGACAACTCCAGCACAGCAATAATCCAGGACAAGTAGTGGACTAGACTAGTAATAAAGGGCATTTAGGGTAATATAATTGCTTGAAATCATCGCTTGAAAACCCTGCCCACACTTTAAGCACCACATCCACCCAATCCTGATACTTCTAAATAACCAGTGACGGAATACCAAAGCACTGAAACTACTTTTACTCATTAGTCGTCGCATCCCAGAGTCTTTTAGCATATGTTATGTCATTTATGTAACATTCTGTCCACGAGAGATTAGTTATTTCTTACAGCTTGTATTAAATACTCTCTCTCTTTGACCAGGTGGGGATCTACGTTTTCCAGCTGATGGACCACTACACGGCCATAGTGTCTCTCATGTTCTTGGCCTTCTTTGAGGTGTTGGCCATCTGCGGGCTTTATGGTTAGACCAGTGTGTGTGTGTGTGTCTAACGTATGCGTGTTTGTCGTTAATTAATAAAAGGAAATTAATAAATTCACCCCCCCCCCCCCTATTATTTCCTCTCTGACAGGTGTGAGGAGGCTTTCGGCAAACTTAAAGGAGATGACAGGAAGTAGGCCTAATATCTTCTTCAGAGTGTGCTGGATGTTTGTGGCTCCTCTTCTGATCACTGTGAGTCATCATCATTCACCTTAACAGAACGATAGTGTCTACAAATACAATGCCATACAGTTGACATTGTCAAATGTCAAAAGATGACAAGGGCATATCCGGTTTTGAGAGTAGGAATACTTTGAATGCAATTGATAAATGTATTTTTATCATCCCTCTCTCTCCTCTGGTGCAACAGATGATCCTGGTGTTCACAATCATCCAGTTTGAACCAGCCCGCTATGAGAACTATGTGTATCCCCCGTGGGCTCAGGGGATTGGCTGGGTCATCGCCATGGCGTCCATCATCTGGATCCCACTCGGAGCTCTTCACACACTGTGGGTTCTGCCCGGCTCCTTCACTGAGGTAATGTATTACTATACATCAGTCTCTCCTCTCCTCTCCTCTCCTCTCCTCTCCTCTCCTCTCCTCTCCTCTCCTCTCCTCTCCTCTCTCTCTCTCTCCTACTTACAGTGAGGGGAAAAAAGTATTTGATCCCCTGCTGATTTTGTACATTTGCCCACTGACAAAGAAATGATCAGTCTATAATTTTAATGGTAGGTTTATTTGTACAGTGAGAGACAGAATAACAACAAAAAAATCCAGAAAAATGCATGTAAAAAATGTTATAAATTTAATGAGGGAAATACGTATTTGACCCCCTCTCAATCAGAAAGATTTCTGGCTCCCAGGTGTCTTTTATACAGGTAACGAGCTGAGATTAAGAGCACACTCTTAAAGGGAGTGCTCCTAATCTCAGCTTGTTACCTGTATAAAAGACACATGCCACAGAAGCAATCAATCAGATTCCAAACTCTCCACCATGGCCAAGATCAAAGAGCTCTCCAAGGATGTCAGGGACAAGATTGTAGACCTACACAAGGCTGGAATGGGCTACAAGACCATCGCCAAGCAGCTTGGTGAGAAGGTGACAACGGTTGGTGCGATTATTCGCAAATGGAAGAAACACAAAATAACTGTCAATCTCCCTCGGCCTGGGGCTCCATGCAAGATCTCACCTCGTGGAGTTGCAATGATCATGAGAACGGTGAGGAATCACCCCAGAACTACTCGGGAGGATCTTGTCAATGATCTCAAGGCAGCTGGGACCATAGTCACCAAGAAAACAATTGGTAATGCACTACGCCGTGAAGGACTGAAATCCTGCAGCGCCCGCAAGGTCCCCCTGCTCAAGAAAGCACATATACAGGGCCGTCTGAAGTTTGCCAATGAACATCTGAATGATTCAGAGGAGAACTGGGTGAAAGTGTTGTGGTCAGATGAGACCAAAATCGAGCTCTTTGGCATCAACTCAACTCGCCGTGTTTGGAGGAGGAGGAATGCTGCCTATGACCCCAAGAACACCATCCTCACCGTCAAACATGGAGGTGGAAACATTATGCTTTGGGGGTGTTTTTCTGCTAAGGGGACAGGACAACTTCACCGCATCAAAGAGACGATGGACGGGGCCATGTACCGTCAAATCTTGGGTGAGAACCTCCTTCCCTCAGCCAGGGCATTGAAAATGGGTCGTGGATGGGTATTCCAGCATGACAATGACCCAAGACACACGGCCAAGGCAACAAAGGAGTGGTTCACGAAGAAGCACATTAAGGTCCTGGAGTGGCCTAGCCAGTCTCCAGACCTTAATCCCATAGAAAATATGTGGAGGGAGCTGAAGATTTGAGTTGCCAAACGTCAGCCTCGAAACCTTAATGACTTGGAGAAGATCTGCAAAGAGGAGTGGAACAAAATCCCTCCTGAGATGTGTGCAAACCTGGTGGCCAACTACAAGAAACGTCTGACCTCTGTGATTGCCAACAAGGGTTTTGCCACCAAGTACTAAGTCATGTTTTGCAGAGGGGTCAAATACTTATTTCCCTCATTAAAATGCAAATCAATTTATAACATTTTTGACATGCGTTTGTCTGGATTTTTTTGTTGTTATTCTGTCTCTCACTGTTCAAATAAACCTACCATTAAAATTATAGACTGATCATGTCTTTGTCAGTGGGCAAACGTACAAAATCAGCAGGGGATCAAATACTTTTTTCCCTCACTGTACCTAGCTACCTATAGCATTATTTCGACCTTAGTACAACACCTAGCAACCTTGTCAAGAGGTTCTGGTTAGGGTGGGGTGGTATCCAGATTTTCATATCGTCATACCGTCCTTCTCTCATCCCGGGATTTACGGTATTACCGGTTTAATACACAAGGGGGCACCGAAAAATGCAAAAAAGCCCATTAGGCGTCTATTATCAGAATGCTAACAAAATTAGCACAATAATATGGAATTTCCATGGAGGCTACTAGCTAAATATGCGAACAAACACAAACGAAAATAAAAGAATTGCAAAGACAGGTAATCCACCTCATAAAATTCTACATATATAGGTAGGCGCTACCGAATGTCATTTTTGGTGAGTTTGGACATTTACAAGCGAATGTGAATGAGAGACATTGTGCAAATGAACAAAGTTCTGATGAATTCTTGTCTGAAAGAAGAACAGTACTGGCTCTGGAGCAGCATGTGTACACGCTGAGTCTGTCTGGAGTCGCTAGGGCATGCCTGCGGCCTGCCTGCTCTGCTCGGAGAAGGGGGGGTGGGGGACCAGATGGGCAGAGAACGGAGAGGAGAAAAAACGCAAGGAAATCAAGATAGCATTGGCAGCTGTACAGATTTCTCAAACATGGTAGAAAGCTAACACTATATGATGACCCGTCTCCTTATTAATTCAGCCACTTACTTGAATAACTAGCAAGTTAAACTTAGGGGTCATGTTTAATGCAGAATTCTGTGTTTTTCACGCAGAAAAAAAGATAAAACGCATAAGAAATATCTTGCTGCGTTTTGTAAATGCAGATCTAAAATGCTTCTTATTGTAATTTCTGCTCAGCATCAGACTAATGTTGTGCTTTAGTTGCACTTCTCCACTTGGATGAGAATTCACCAATGCATTCTATCAGCAGACAGCACTCTGACTGATGTGTAGCTACTTTTCTCCAGTACTTTCGGTGTAGACTACTTTTCTCTGGTAAAATGCAAGATTAACAAAAGGAAATGTAGCTGGCTACATTCTTTCTATGATAAACATTAGAAATATATATGGCCATGCATCGTTTTTGCAAAATATACCTGCTTTTTCATTGTAAGCTCATTTACTTGTGTGGCTGCCAGCCAAATAGCGTTGCACTTCTGTTGTCATCTGTTGAAAATGAAGCTATTTTCTGCCGAATGTATTGCACTAATTAATTTTCTGTGAAGGAAAACTATAGTTGCATGCCCCTGATCACTCTTGAAGCAAAAAAACACTTTTGACTTTCAATATAAAACGCGACCCCTGTCAATACACAGCTGGACTCACCTGCTCCCGCTTTCTGCCATTGTGCTATTTACAAACAAACACACAACTGGCTCAACTGTTCTGGGGAACTACAGTAAGCTACATAATGTGACAGGTGAAACAAAAAAGCGATCTGCTTTATCTCCTAACGTATTGCACAAGTTGACTGCAGGTATTTACTTAAAAAGTAGCTACAAATATTAACATTTATTGAAACACTTCAAATAAATAGTTTCAACGGTATTGACGGTATTGAAAAACCATCCCGTGGCTATTTCCAAATGCCCAAGTATATGGTATATATTGTATACGTCCAAGCCTAGTTCTGGTGTAATGGCTAAGCAAAATTGTTGGACAGAATTAGCTAAAGTCCATATGTTGTTTAAGGCTTCTAATAATGTCTTGTCTTCCTCCCCCCAGAGATTATTGAAGTCAATCACCCCATATGCACTGGAGAACGAGAGAGGAGGAGAGACTTACCCAAACATAGCAGTCATCAACTCCTTTGGTAGAGAAACAGAGAAGCCTCACATTCAGACAAACCTCTGATACTGAGTCTCCCTACTGATGGCCTCTGTACCAGCCTGGGACTCTGGGACCATGATAGGCTTGGAGAGCTAGGTGAGGTTTCACTAAGGATGTCAAACCTGATTCACATTGGCACTGGAAACCACACTGTCTGTGGGTGATGTGACTCAAAAACCGTCCAACAGCATTCCTATTGGTGTGGTTTGGGACTTCTGCTCATGCACACACAGTATTACAATTATTCAATGGGGAAGTGGGTTGTTCTCCTTTGTGGAGTGAATGACATATATTTTTAAAACACTGTTATAGTCAATTATGTGAAAACAAATAGAAGAAATGGACCTGGATCCAAGAAGCTTACCTACCTCTGCTTTGAGAGATCAGAATTGGTAATGAGTGGGTACTGGTACATGATGAATAGACCTTAACCTATAATAATAATATTAACCTGTCCATATGTTGCACTGTTTGAGCTTTGGTATTATGTTTTCTTTTTTTTAAATATGTAGCCATGTATAACCAAAGTACAATGGTCTGAGAACTGTTAGTTATAGATGTTGATGTTCTACCCTTCAAGCATGTTAGCTTTCACTTGAGCACCACTTTGTGGTTAACACAGCTGATGAGGTATTACATGTACAGTGGGGAGAACAAGTATTTGATACACTGCCAATTTTGCAGGTTTTCCTACTTACAAAGCATGTAGAGGTCTGTAATTTTTATCATAGGTACACTTCACATTGTATGATTTTTAAATAATTAATTTGCATTTTATTGCATGACATAAGTATTTGATACATCAGAAAAGCAGAACTTAATATTTGGTACAGAAACCTTTGTTTGCAATTATAGAGATCATACGTTTCCTGTAGGTCTTGACCAGGTTTCCACACACTGCAGCAGGGATTTTGGCCCACTCCTCCATACAGACCTTCTCCAGATCCTTCAGGTTTCAGGGCTGTCGCTGGCTAGGCCACTCCAGGACCTTGAGATGCTTCTTACGGAGCCACTCCTTAGTTGCCCTGGCTGTGTGTTTCGGGTCGTTGTCATGCTGGAAGACCCAGCCACGACCCATCTTCAATGCTCTTACTGAGGGAAGGAGGTTGTTGGCCAAGATCTCGCGATACATGGCCCCATCCATCCTCCCCTCAATACGGTGCAGTCGTCCTGTCCCCTTTGCAGAAAAGCATCCCCAGAGAATGATGTTTCCACCTCCATGCTTCATGGTTGGGATGGTGTTCTTGGGGTTGTACTCATCCTTCTTCTTCCTCCAAACACGGCGAGTGGAGTTTAGACCAAAAAGCTATATTTTTGTCTCATCAGACCACATGACCTTCTCCCATTCCTCCTCTGGATCATCCAGATGGTCATTGGCAAACTTCAGACGGGCCTGGACATGCGCTGGCTTGAACAGGGGGACCTTGCGTGCGCTGCAGGATTTTAATCCATGACGGCGTAGTGTGTTACTAATGGTTTTCTTTGAGACTGTGGTCCCAGCTCTCTTCAGGTCATTGACCAGGTCCTGCCGTGTAGTTCTGGGCTGATCCCTCACCTTCCTCATGATCATTGATGCCCCACGAGGTGAGATCTTGCATGGAGCCCCAGACCGAGGGTGATTGACCGTCATCTTGAACTTCTTCCATTTTCTAATAATTGCGCCAACAGTTGTTGCCTTCTCACCAAGCTGCTTGCCTATTGTCCTGTAGCCCATCCCAGCCTTGTGCAGGTCTACAATTTTATCCCTGATGTCCTTACACAGCTCTCTGGTCTTGGCCATTGTGGAGAGGTTGGAGTCTGTGGACAGGTGTCTTTTATACAGGTAACGAGTTCAAACAGGTGCAGTTAATACAGGTAATGAGTGGAGAACAGGAGGGCTTCTTAAAGAAAAACTAACAGGTCTGTGAGAGCCGGAATTCTTACTGGTTGGTAGGTGATCAAATACTTATGTCATGCAATAAAATGCAAATTAATTACTTAAAAATCATACAATGTGATTTTCTGGATTTTTGTTTTAGATTCCGTCTCTCACAGTTGAAGTATACCTATGATAAAAATTACAGACCTCTACATGCTTTGTAAGTAGGAAAACCTGCAAAATCGGCAGTGTATCAAATACTTGTTCTCCCCACTGTATTTATAGAGTACCACAGTATGAGTCATAATACCCATAACACCTAGTGGTCAAACAAAGAAATGGTTCCACCATTCATTTTTCTCATAGGGGATTACACTGGCGTGACTTTTTGATAACCTTGTAAATCTCTCTGGGACAAGGCGACTTTTATCAATATATATAATATATGCTAATTAGCTGCTAATGTTGCTATCATAAAGAACTACAAATGCCATGATGATCTGGACGAGACTGCTGAATCGAGGCAAAGGTAAGAATCTCTCGATTAACTATCTAATGTTAGCTAAATTTTGTAATTAATAAATTGGCTACATTTCTTTAAATTGACAATTCTGTGAACTGTCTTGTGCAAGTTTTAAATTGACACAATACCTGTTAGCAAAGGTGTCAGCTAGAGATGACGTGCAGGAGCTTTCAGGGATTTGTAGTCTTGCATGTCTACTTTAATGCTAATTAGCATTTTCGAATCAGAGTAATAGAGCCAAATATATTGTTAAAAGTCAGCTTGTCTGAGAGAGGTTTAAATGGTTATCAAAACGTCACGCCAGGGTAAGCCTACACAAAACACAGCCCTTATTTTAAGTATTTCTAAAATTCCCTATGGGAAAAATGAATGGGGGAAAAACAATTGGAACCATTTCCCTGTTTGACCGCTAGGTTTTATGGGTATTATGACACCTCCACTGTGGGGCTCTATATTAGTAAAACATGTACAGTACGATGCAGTAGCTATGGATCAGCACATCAGTTAATAAAATAATCTACCAAATGCAGCATTTGGAACATCTTGTTGCAATATTCTTTATGTAATATGTCATTTTCAATAAAATGCCACAATATGTTTGATTTGGCTGCTGGAGGGCAGGGGGCAAGGAGACCCCCAGCTCTGCTAAAACCAGTGACAACTACATGCTGTTTTCAAGGGATTGTTAAATAAATGTTACAACTATTTCGTTTTAATATCATCACCTATTGAGCATAGTCAGAACTACAAATTCCCCATTATTCCATGCAAAACAATTGCGCACATTTAGCTCTTTCATCAGAGTTATACAGCAAGTAACTGCATGTATTTCATGATCCGTAAACATCAGTGATCATGTAATTTCAGATACGTGAAGGTACCTATCGATTTGGCATGTAGCTAGCTAAGCAAACAACATAATTTAGCTTGCTTCATCAGATATTAGGCTTTTGGAAAGAGCTTGACAATCGGCAAGTCCTCGTCCTTGTAAATTGTCAGTCGGACTACTGTCATCACCACTTGCGAAAGTATTCACCCCCCTTGGCATTTTTCCTATTTTGTTGCCTTACAACCTGGAATTAAAATGAATTTTTGGGGGGTTTGTATCATTTGATTTACACAACATGTGGTCCTCTGTAGCTCAGCTGGTAGAGCACGGCGCTTGTAACGCCAAGGTAGTGGGTTCGATCCCCGGGACCACCCATACACAAAAATGTATGCACGCACGACTGTAAGTCGCTTTGGATAAAAGCGTCTGCTAAATGGCATATTATTTTATTTTATTACAACATGCCTACCACTTTGAAGATGCAAAATATTTATATTGTGAAACAAACAAGAAATATGACCAAAAAAAACAGAACTTGAACGTGCATAACTATTCACCCCCCCCAAAGTCAATACTTTGTAGAGCCACCTTTTGCAGCAATTACAGCTGCAAATCTCTTGGGGTATGTCTGTATAAGCTTGGCACATCTAGCCACTGGGATTTTTGCCCATTCTTCAAGGCAAAACTGCTCCAGCTCCTTCAAGTTGGATGGGTTCCGCTGGTGTACAGCAATCTTTAAGTCATACCACAGATTCTCAATTGGATTGAGGTATGGGCTTTGACTAGGCCATTCCAAGACATTTAAATGTTTCCCCTTAAATCACTCGAGTGTTGCTTCAGCAGTATGCTTAGGGTCATTGTGCTGCTGGAAGGTGAACCTCCGTCCCAGTCTCAAATCTCTGGAAGACTGAAACAGGTTTCCCTCAAGAATTTCCCTGTATTTAGCGCCATCCATCATTCCTTCAATTCGGATCAGTTTCCCAGTCCCTGCCGATGAGAAACATCCCCACAGCATGATGCTGCCAATACCATGGTGTTCTCGGGGTGATGAGAGGTGTTGGGTTTGCGCCAGACATAGCGTTTTCCTTAATAGCCAAAAAGCTCAATTTTTGTCTCATCTGACCAGAGTACCTTCTTCCATATGTTTGGGGAGTCTCCCACATGCCTTTTGACGAACACCAAACGTGTTTGCTTATGTATTTTTTTGGCTTTTTTCTGGCCACTCTTCCTTAAAGCCCAGCTCTATGGAGTGTACGGCTTAAAGTGGTCCTATGGACAGATACTCCAATCTCCGCTGTGGAGCTTTGCAGCTCCTTCAGGGTTATCTTTGGTGTCTTTGTTGCCTCTGATGAATGCCCTCCTTGCCTGGTCCGTGAGTTTTGGTGGGCGGCCCTCTCTTGGCAGGTTTGTTGTGGTGCCATATTCTTTCAATTTTTTTATAATGGATATAATGGTGCTCCGTGGGATGTTCAAAGTTTCGGATATATTTTCATAACCCAACCCTGATCTGTACTTCTCCACAACTTTGTCCCTGACCTGTTTGGAGAGCTCCTTGGTCTTCATGGTGCCCCTTGCTTAGTGGTGTTGCAGACTCTAGGGCCTTTCAGAACAGGTGGATATATACTGAGATCATGTGACAGATCATGTGACACTTAGATTGCACACAGGTGGACTTCATTTAACTAATTATGTGACTTCTGAAGGTAATTGGTTGCACCAGATCTTATTTAGGGGCTTCATAGCAAAGGGGGTGAATACATATGCACGCACCACTTTTCCGTGATTTATTTTTTAGAATTTTGGACTGTTATGTTACATGAAATCCAAATAAAAATCAATTTAAATTACAGGTTGTAATGCAACAAAAGGGGGAATACTTTTGCAAGGAACTGTAGATGGCGGGTAAATCAAACAATATTTGGATATAGTCATCTAGTTTATCCCCTGAAAGTTTGCTTGTTAACTAGCCATATTGACGTGATCTGTTATTAGCTAGCTCGCCAATTTTACGTGGTTCATCAATCAACGTAGCCTATATCATGTCTGTCAGCAGCAATCATAATTTAACACTCTTAAAAATGCTGGTGAAAAGGGGATCATGATATTGTGACATTTTATTGAAAACAACCTATAGGCTATTATTATGTAATATATCCACTGCAATCTGACAAATGGTCACTTTTATGTGACTCATAAATTGTTGTAAAATGATTGGAAATGTCATGAGTTCTTTATTTGACAAAATGTAAAACATAAAAATGTAATGTTTGAAAGGAAATTATGCCTGATTAAAATAGGTCAAGTATTATTAGAATAATCAGTAGGAGAGATATATAATCATACTGTACAACTCTGTCATGTTATGCTGTGTAAGGCCAAATAAAAAGCCAAAGGGTGTGCCAAGTTTTTACGATCATCAGTGGGTGGTGTCACAAACACCACTTCAAGACAGAGGTTCCTTAAACTAAAACATTCAGAGGGGTTTCGTTTACAAACCTGTCTGAGATTATTTTTACATTTTTAGTCATTTAGCAGACGCTCTTATCCAGAGCGACTTACAGTTAGTTAGTGCATACATTATTTTTTATTTTTTCATACTGGCCCCCCGTGGGAATCGAACCCACAACCCTGGTGTTGCAAACGCCATGCTCTACCAACTGAGCTATATCCCTGCTGGCCATTCCCTCCCCTACCCTGGACGACACTGGGCCAATTGTGCTCCACCCTATGGGTCTCCCGGTCGCGGCCAGCTACGACAGAGCCTGGATTCAAACCAGGATCTCTAGTGGCACAGCTATCACTACTATTGAGAACTTTGCACTGGACTAGTTCACTATTATGTGAGCAGTTATATATCACTGTCAGATTACAAACGATGTCCAGTACTGTTGTAACATGTTAGTCAACATCTAACTCACATTTTATTTGAATGGTCACAAAAAAGTACACAAAATAAATATAAATTGCAGGTTTGGTGAGTGGAAAGGTAAGTGGACTGTGAGGCCATTGCAAGCAACTGATGGGAAACTATTTCCATCCAATTAGACATGTGACTTGCACACACTGTTAAAAATACCATTGCATGGACCTGGCATTAGGCTGAAATTATATATATTATATAATTAATATATATATATATATATATATATATATATATATATATATATATATATATATAATTATACATAATATATTATGCCATCTAGCTTTTATTTGTTCAATTAACAGTATAACTAACACTGTAGGCCTATTTAGATAGCAATTTACTTTCAATCAAATGAAAATAAACATTAACATTTAACACATGATCAAAACAAATAATGGTGCACAAAAAGGAGCCACCTTTGACAATTCTTAATTCATTTTATTGATAAACATCTACTGTATCATACAAGTACACACTTGAGGAGAGTATATTCGAGTTAGTTACTTCCTCTAGACAAGATGAGTGTTTTCTTTATACTCCTCCAAATGGATCCAAAGTGCAAAACAATTTAAATCACATGGGAGTGGGGAAATACACTTGCTCCAAAGTGATGGGGTTGCGTAATCGTGCTTGAATGTCCCTTACACACATTTTCTGAATTAGTGATGATTGACATGGGTTTTGAAAAACGTACGAGCGGACTTAATACCAGGCCAACCAAATCTGCTTGTTATTAAAAACAGAAGTAAAGACAGAAATGGATTGAGCATCTATGGTTAGGAAGTACAGTATGAGCCACATCTACCAATAATCATAGTTAAAATACCTATATATAAAAATGATAATTATCATTCTTTATTGAACAGCAGGGTTGTCTTCCATCATTTGAAACATATATCTATTACAACCTACACATTTTTTTTTTTTAAACATGTGCAATTGATGGCATACTCTTCCCTCATGTAGAATATATGACCACATAAGCACATGACCAACAACCCTCTTCTCCTCTCCTAAGTTTGCAGTGGCTTCAGAGCAATACACCAAAGACCATGTTGCAGCACTCATAGTAATTCTATAGTGGTTAAGAGTACCTGCCCACCCTCTCCTCCTTTCCTCTCATCTCCACACCAGAGATCCCCCCACCACACTCAGCCACCTCCACCCCTCAAACCGATCCCTCCACTCCAAATCCAGTTGAATCCTAGTTTGTTTCCGTCGTTGCCCAGCAGGGGTCGCTAAGGAGTCGTCACCATGGCGCACGCTGCCTGGCTCCATCTGCTCCTTCAGCTGATTCCTTCCTGCTCGGTTGCTATGACACCTGTTCCACCGGCCTCATCTGCACATCTCCAATCTAGAGGCCGACAAGCAGGTTTACATACACAAACAAACTCAACAAACTGCATGAATGTCCTCAGGTCAGGACCATTGACAGCATACACTGAGTGTACAAAACATTAGGAACACCTTCAACTCGTCAGGGCATGGACTCTACAAGGTGTCAAAAGCATTCCACAGGGATGCTGGCCCATGTTGACGTCAATGCTTCCCACAGATGTGTCAGGTTGGCTGGATGTCCTTTGGGTGGTGGACCATTCTTGATACACACGGGAACCTGTTTAGCGTGAAAAACCCAGCACCGTTGCAGTTCTTGACACACTCAAATCGGTGCTCCTGGCACCTACTACCATACCCCGTTCAAATGGACTTAAATATCTATGTCTTGCCCATTCACCCTCTGAATGGCACACACACAATCCATGTCTCAATTGTCTCAAGGCTTAAAAATCACTATTTAACCCATCTCCTCCCCTTCATCTACACTGATTGAAGTGGATTTAACAAGTGACATCAATAAGAGATCATAGCTTTCACCTGGATTCACCTGGTCAGTCTGTCATGAAAAGAGCCTCATGTTTTGTACACTCAGTGTATAGTACCATTGGTCTATCTAAGAGGAGTTATTCTTGACTTGAGAAAGAGGCAGGATATACAGTACCAGTCAAAAGTTTGGACACACCTACATTTACATTTTAGTCATTTAGCAGACGCTCTTATCCAGAGCGACTTACAGTTAGTGAGTGCATACATTATTTTTTATACCCCTGTGGGAATCGAACCCACAACCCTGGCGTTGCAAGCGCCATGCTCTACCAACTGAGGCACAGGAGGCCACCTACTCATTCAAGGGGTTTTCTTTATTTTTACTATTTTCTACATTGTAGAATAATAGTGAAGACATCAAAACTATGAAATAACACATATGGAATCATGTAGTAACCAAAAAAGTGTTAAACAAATCAAAATATTTAAGATTTTAGATTCTTCAAAGTAGCCACCCTTTGCCTTGATGACAGCTTTGCACTCTTGGCATTCTCTCAACCAGCTTCATGAGGTAGTCACCTGGAATGCATTTCAATTAACAGGTGTGCCTTGTTAAAAGTTAATTTGTGGAATTTCTTTCCTTCTTAATGCGTTTGAGCCAATCAGTTGTGTTGTGACAAGGTATACAGAAGATGGTCTTTTACCAAATAGGGCTAAGTCCATATCATGGCAAGAACAGCTCAAATAAGCAAAGAGAAACGACAGTCCATCATTACTTTAAGACATGAAGGTCAGTCAATCCGGAACATTTCAAGAACTTTGAAAGTTTCTTCAAGTGCAGTCGCAAAAACCATCAAGCGCTATGATGAAACTGGCTCTCATGAGGACCGCCACAGGAAAGGAAGACCCAGAGTTACCTCTGCTGCAGAGGATAAGTTCATTAGAGTTACCAGCCTCAGAAATTTCAGCCCAAATAAATGCTTCACAGAGTTCAAGTAACAGACACATCTCAACATCAACTGTTCAGAAGAGACTGCGTGAATCAGGCCTTCATGGTCAAATTGCTGCAAAGAAACCACTACTAAAGGACACCAATAATAAGAAGAGACTTGCTTGGGTCAAGAAACACAAGCAATGGACATAAGACCGGTGGAAATCTGTCCTTTGGTCTGATGAGTCCAAATTTGAGATTTTTGGTTCCAACCGCTGTGTCTTTGTGAGACGCAGAGTAGGTGAACAGATGATCTCCGCATGTGTGGTTCCCACCGTGAAGCATGGAGAAGGAGGTGTGATGGTGCTTTGCTGGTGACACTGTCAGTGATTTATTTAGAATTCAAGGCACACTTAACCAGCATGGCTACCACAGCATTCTGCAGCGATACGCCATCCCATCTGGTTTGCGCTTAGTGGCACTCTCATTTGTTTTTCAACAGGACAATAACCCAACACACCTCCAGGCTCTGTAAGGGCTATTTGACCAAGAAGGAGAGTGATGGAGTGCTGCATCAGATGACCTAACCTCCAAAATCACCTGACCTCAACTCAATTGAGATGGTTTGGGATGAGTTGGACCGCAGAGTGAAGGAAAAGCAGCCAACAAGCGCTCAGCATATTTGGGAACTCCTTCAAGACTGTTGGAAAAGCATTCCAGGTGAAGCTGGTTGAGTGAATGCCAAGAGTGTACAAAGCTGTCATCAAGGTAAAGGGTGGCTACTTTGAAGAATCTAAAATCTAAAATATATTTTGACTTGTTTAACACTTTTTTGGTTACTACATGATTCCATATGTGTTATTTCATAGTTTTGATGTCTTCACTATTATTCTACAATGTAAAAAATTAAGAAAAACCCTTGAGTGAGTAGGTGTGTCCAAACTTTTGACTGGTACTGTAAGTAAGCCAAGTATTGACAGAAGCGACAGACAGACAGAGAGCACTACTTTACCTGGACATGAGGGGGGGCGCCCAGAACGTATGTGACTGCACTGGCTATGTCTTGTGCTTTCAAACACTGCAGAGGAAAAGAATGCCAATTAGTCATAGTTTCTAATAGTTTCTTAATGTACCGTATTTGTATTGAGAGAAGAGGTAGGCCCATCCACCCACCCACCCACACACCCACCCTCACACACTCCTAGTCTAGCTGCCTTACTTTTATACTCTCATACACAGCAGCTGCTTTCTCTGGATCACTGTTGTGGTGCCGGAAGGCAAACTCAGTCTCCACTATTCCAGGGGATATACACTATGGAAGAGGAAGGCACAAACCATGGTCGTTATTTATGTTTATATACACATACACAGACAGACACTCGTACGCACGCACAGACGAACACACACACGCACAAGCGTACACACGCACCCACACAACAATCAACTTTATATCTAATAATTGTATAAGACAGTTGACAGATTCATCTGAAAAAGAGTGAATAGTAATGCTGCTCTTTTCACCGTGGCTCTGATGTGAGTCTTTGCTTCCCGTAGCTCTTGCCGTAGCCCCTCGGTTAGAGCAGTAACAGCATATTTAGTGGCACAGTAGAAGTGTTCATCTGCACTAGGTACCATTCTATGTCCCCCCATACTATAGCAGTAAGCAAAGGAGGGAGGGAGAAAAGGAGAGAAAGTGAGATAATTGCATGTATGTGATACATCCTCCATCCTGTATCCCTCTGACTTATCTTCTCTGTCTAAAACCAAGAGTAAAATTGTAGGACCTCTTTACTGTATCTCCTGAGAGAGTATTCAATCATTTAAATGTCAGTTATAACAGGCATTTAACAGGCTGAAAATAAGCTGTAGTCTACCTGTTAATATTGATGATGTGGCCATCGTCCACATTCCGCTCTTTCATTGACTGGTAGGCCTCGCGGGTACAAATGGACAGGGCCAGGACATTCACCTATAGGAGGAGAGCTTCAGTCAAAAACGTTCACCTGCATCTGCCTTCACACACACAAATACAGTTCATCTAGGTGAATGAGACTGTAGTTATTGTCATCAACAGTGTCAAAGCCAAGGCCCCTTGTGAAATTACAGGGGCTGGGACTACTTTTTGAGCAGGAGGGCTCAGCCTGAGGGGCTTGAAAGGAATGGTCTTGAGATCGATGAATTACAGTGTAAAGAAAAGGCCCAGCATAATAGATGGAAGGAAATAATACCTGGCTTCTTCTACAAGTGGGCCTCTGTGTGGTAGCACCACGCCAGGCAATGGGACGACTCCTTGTGAGGGGGAATGTGTGTGTTGGCACTGCATCTAACAGGCCTATCATGTTTAAGTACCAACACACTAGACGTTTGTGTGGTTATGTGGGTTCGTTAAACCCTTTGTACTACGCTTCACACCACCATTGCACAACACTGTACAGTGAGGGAAAAAAGTATTTGTTCCCCTGCTGATTTTGTACATTTGCCCACTGACAAAGAAATTATCAGTCTATAATTTTAAATGGTAGGTTTATTTGAACAGTGAGAGACAGAATAACAACAAAAAAATCCAGAAAAACGCATGTCAGAAATGTTATAAATTGATTTGCATTTTAATGAGGGAAATAAGTATTTGACCCCCTCTCAATCAGAAAGATTTCTGGCTCCCAGGTGTCTTTTATACAGGTAACGAGCTGAGATTAGGAGCACACTCTTAAAGGGAGTGCTCCTAATCTCAGCTTGTTACCTGTATAAAAGACACCTGTCCACAGAAGCAATCAATCAATCAGATTCCAAACTCTCCACCATGGCCAAGACCAAAGAGTTCTCCAAGGATGTCAGGGACAAGATTGTAGACCTACACAAGGCTGGAATGGGCTACAAGACCATCGCCAAGCAGCTTGGTGAGAAGGTGACAACAGTTGGTACGATTATTCGCAAATGGAAGAAACACAAAATAACTGTCAATCTCCCTCGGCCTGGGGCTCCATGCAAGATCTCACCTCGTGGAGTTGCAATGATCATGAGAACGGTGAGGAATCAGCCCAGAACTACACGGGAGGATCTTGTCAATGATCTCAAGGCAGCAGGGACCATAGTCACCAAGAAAACAATTGGTAACACACTCCGCCGTGAAGGACTGAAATCCTGCAGCGCCCGCAAGGTCCCCCTGCTCAAGAAAGCACATATACAGGCCCGTCTGAAGTATGCCAATGAACATCTGAATGATTCAGAGGAGAACTGGGTGAAAGTGTTGTGGTCAGATGAGACCAAAATCGAGCTCTTTGGCATCAACTCAACTCGCCGTGTTTGGAGGAGGAGGAATGCTGCCTATGATCCCAAGAACACCATCCCCACCGTCAAACATGGAGGTGGAAACATTATGCTTTGGGGGTGTTTTTCTGCTAAGGGGACAGGACAACTTCACCGCATCAAAAGGACGATGGACAGGGCCATGTACCGTCAAATCTTGGGTGAGAACCTCCTTCCCTCAGCCAGGGCATTGAAAATGGGTCGTGGATGGGTATTCCAGCATGACAATGACCTAAAACACACGGCCAAGGCAACAAAGGAGTGGCTCAAGAAGAAGCACATTAAGGTCCTGGAGTGGCCTAGCCAGTCTCCAGACCTTAATCCCATAGAAAATCTGTGGAGGGAGCTGAAGATTCGAGTTGCCAAACGTCAGCCTCGAAACCTTAATGACTTGGAGAAGATCTGCAAAGAGGAGTGGGACAAAATCCCTCCTGAGATGTGTGCAAACCTGGTGGCCAACTTCAAGAAACGTCTGACCTCTGTGATTGCCAACAAGGGTTTTGCCACCAAGTACTAAATCATGTTTTGCAGAGGGGTCAAATACTTACAGTGGGGATAAAAAGTATTTAGTCAGCCACCAATTGTGCAAGTTCTCCCACTTAAAAAGATGAGAGAGGCCTGTAATTTTCATCATAGGTACACGTCAACTATGACAGACAAAATGAGATTTATTTTCTCCAGAAAATCACATTGTAGGATTTTTAATGAATTTATTTGCAAATTATGGTGGAAAATAAGTATTTGGTCAATAACAAAAGTTTCTCAATACTTTGTTATATACCCTTTGTTGGCAATGACACAGGTCAAACGTTTTCTGTAAGTCTTCACAAGGTTTTCACACACTGTTGCTGGTATTTTGGCCCATTCCTCCATGCAGATCTCTAGAGCAGTGATGTTTTGGGGCTGTCGCTGGGCAACACAGACTTTCAACTCCCTCCAAAGATTTTCTATGGGGTTGAGATCTGGAGACTGGCTAGGCCACTCCAGCACCTTGATATGCTTCTTACGAAGCCACTCCTTCGTTGCCCGGGCGGGGTGTTTGGGATCATTGTCATGCTGAAAGACCCAGCCACGTTTCATCTTCAATGCCCTTGTTGATGAAAGGAGGTTTTCACTCAAAATCTCACGATACATGGCCCCATTCATTCTTTCCTTTACACTGATCAGTCGTCCTGGTCCCTTTGCAGAAAAACAGCCCCAAAGCATGATGTTTCCACCCCCATGCTTCACAGTAGGTATGGTGTTCTTTGGATGCAACTCAGCATTCTTTGTCCTCCAAACACGACGAGTTGAGTTTTTACCAAAAAGTTTACCAAAAAATCTCAATTTGTCTGTCATAGGTACACGTCAACTATGATGAAAATTACAGGCCTCTCTCATCTTTTTAAGTGGGAGAACTTGCACAATTGGTGGCTGACTAAATACTTTTTTCCCCCACTGTATTTCACTCAGTAAAATGCAAATCTGTTTTTTTTTTTTGTTATTCTGTCTCTCACTGTTCAAATAAACCTACCATTAAAATTATAGACTGATCATGTCTTTGTCAGTGGGCAAACGTACAAAATCAGCAGGGGATTAAATAATTGTTTCCCTCACTGTATATGCACTGTATATATTTGCCATGACAGCATCCCTCCCTCTGCTTATATAGATATATCCCCTCAGTAAATTGCATATTCCCACTGTAATCAGGCTATACTCCAGAATTTTATTTTTTCCGTTCCAATATTGTATATTCTGTATGATGTCTATGTGAAGTTGTCTGTATTCTGTTTGTAAAGTGTCTATTGCTGGCAGCAATGTAAATGTACAGTGTATTCAGACCCCTTGACTTTTTCCCAAAAACATTACGTTACAGCCTTATTCTAAAATGGATTAAATTGTTTTTCCCCCCCTCATCAATCTACACACAATACCCCATAATGACAAAGCAAAAACAGGTTAAGAAATTTTAGCAAATGTATATAAAAATATACAAAAAACTAACATATCACATTTACATAAATATTCAGACCCTTTCAGTACTTTGTTGAAGCACCTTTGGCAGCGATTACAGCCGCAAGTCTTTTTGGGTAGGACGCCACAAGCTTGGCACACCTGTATTGGGGGAGTTTCTCCCATTCTTCTCTGCAGATCCTCTCAAGCGCTGTCAGGTTGGATGGGGAGCGTCACCACACAGCTATTTTCAGGTCTCTCCAGAGATGTTCGATCGGGTTCAAGTCCGGGCTCTGGCTGGGCCAATCAAGGACATTCAGAGACTTGTCCCGAAGCCACTCCTTCGTTCTCTTGGCTGTGTGCTTAGGGTTGTTGTCCTGTTGGAAGGTGAACCGTCGCCCCAGTCTGAGGTCCTGAGTGCTCTGGAGCAGGTTTTCATCAAGGATCTCTCTGTACTTTGCTCTGTTCATTTTTCCCTTGATCCTGACTAGTCTGCCAGTCCCTGCCGCTGAAAAACATCCCCACAGCATGATGCTGCCACCACCATGATTCACCATAGGGATGGTGCCAGGTTTCCCCCAGACGTGACGATTGGCATTCAGGCCAGAGTTCAATCTTGGTTTCATCAGACCAGAGAATGTTGTTTCTCATGGTCAGAGTCCTTTAGGTGCCTTTTGGCAAACTCCAAGCGGGCTGTCATGTGCCTTTTTACTGAGGAGTGGCTTCCGTCTGGCCACTCTACCATAAAGGCCTGATTGGTGATGGTTGTCCTTCTGGAAGTTTCTCCCATCTCCACAGAGGAACTCTGGAGCTCTGCCAGAGTGACCATCAAGTTCTTGGTCACCTCCCTGACCAAGGCCCTTCTCCCCCGATTGCTCAGTTTGGCCAGGCGGCCAGCTCTAGGAAGAGTCTTGGTGGTTCCAAACTTCTTCCATTTAAAAATGATGGAGGCCACTGTGTTCTTGGGGACAAATGTTTTGGTACCCTTCCCCAGATCTGTTGCCTCGACACAATCCTGTCTCGGAGATCTACGGACAATTCCTTCGACCTCATGCACTGTCAACTGTGGGACCTTATATAGACAGGTGTGTGCCTTTCCAAATCATGTCCAATCAATTGAATTTACCACAGGTGGACTCCAATCAAGTTGTAGACACATCTCAAGGATGATCAATGGAAACAGGATGCACCCGAGCTCAATTTCGAGTCTCATAGCAAAGGGTCTGAATACTTATGTATATAAGTTATGTTTTTTATTTTTAATACATTTGTAAACATTTCTAAAAACCTGTTTTTGCATTGTCATTATGGGGTATTGTGCATAGATTGATGAGGAATTGTTATTATTTAATACATTTTAAAATAAGGCTGTAACGTAACAAAATGTGGAAAAAGTAAAGGGGTCTGAATACTTTCCAAATGCACTGTACTTGGCGAATACAAATGATTCTGATTCTACTCTATAACCAAACATTTTTCACAGTTATTCTCTATTTAGCTATGGTTGCTACACTCAAGTACAGCAGTTCAGTTGTTGAGTAACCCAACTGTATGACAGCCCAGCACACAGTTACACAGTTGTTACTACGTTGTTACAGTTGTTGTTGATTGGAAAGACATGCGTACATAGTGTGTGTGTGTGAACCCATGTACATTGTGTGTGTTGTCCACTCACGTCGATCATGTTCCTCCAGCCGTCGGTCTTGCCGCTGAGCAAGGGTTCGTTGTGGGCCAGGCCTGCATTGTTGATACACACGTCCACCCCCTTGGTGCAGCGTCTTGATGGCAGAGAACATGGACAGGATGTCCTCCTCACAGGACAGGTCACACTTATAGGGGATCAGCGTGCCGCTGTAGCCCGCGCTCTGGCACTCTGCTGCCAGCTTCTACAAACAGCACACAGATAGGGAGAAGACTTCGATCACAAATCAGGTAAACACTTGACATGAGAATTTAAGAAACTCCAGATTATAACATGTGTTGGACTTTCTAGATTGACAATTTCGGCAATCAAAATTATTAGTAATAGGCCTAATGAATTTGGTCTATCACACTGATTTGAGCTGTAATACGGGAGACATGAGAAAAATAAAAAACACCCCAAACAAATTAGCGCCCTACCCATTCCCCGGGCCGAAAGGAGCCATAACCATACAATCAATCCTGGTATATTCCATAAAAGGAAGATAGAAACAATTTCTCTAGTCTTGTCTGAAGTTTATCAACCAAGAACACTTACATTTTCCGATTTACATATTTGCAGAGTATAGAAAGACCATAACATCTGCAATCTTTGTTGTTAACAAATTGTTGGTATTATACCAATTTCATTTAGGGACAAATGTCGGTTTAGACTCAGTGTCTGGCTTAAGGAAATAAGCAATATGTTTATGAGCCTTATTAACCATGATGACCCTTATAAAACTAAAGTGACCCTTGACCCTTATGAACCTTACTCCTACACTAACATGGAGCTATGGAGAGCCACAGTCCCTGTCTCCCTGGCCTGCTCCAGGCACAACCAGCACAACCAGGTCAGCCTACCTCATTGCAGGCTTCCAGTCTGATGCGACTGGACATAGATCCCCCTACCGGGCACAGTCACATGATGTCCCTGTCTGGACTGCTCTCAGTACAGAACGAGAGGGGAGGGATGGGGGAAGAGTGTGTGTGTGTGTGTGTGTGCGGGGGGGCGGGGTTGGTGGCAGCCGCAGCAGCGGCAGGCAGGGATTATGCCAAGGACTGCATGGCATTCTCAGCCTCTCCCTCTCTCTCTTTTCGAGCCAAAGTGCTGTGACATTTGGGACGAGAGCACTCAGTCTCATGAGGACAGGACAGGGATGGAGCAACGTGGGGACACGCATGTACACACACACTAATATTCTATATAGCCTAGAGCAGGGATCATCAACTAGATTCAGCCGCAGGACTATTTTTTCTTGAGTGGATGGTCAGGGGAAGTATGTTGCCACTGCTCAACGAGAATAGCCTATGCAGCTGCCAACACCTCAAACATGTTGACATATTTACGCTGACGTCACCCCAGTATTCCTACCACTGGAGTAACAGAAACACACACACAGAAAAAACGTTATCTCCCCTCTGCATTCAAGCAGCCCTTCGCAGCTGATCCTGACCGGGCCAAAGAGAAGACTAGGGGTTTCAGCACCTGGTGAAAGTGCTCGAGCGATGTTACGAACTTCGCCCTCTCGCACCCATTTCAGCAAACAGGTAGTACCCGCTCTATATAAGCAAGCTAAAGCCGAAGTTGTCAATGAATTGGCCAATGCACCCTGTGTTGAGTTCACTACAGATGGATGGACCTCCAGGGCTACAGAGAGCTACTTAACAGTGACAGCCTGGGAAATTAGGAATACCGTGCTACAGACACGCCCCCTTTGAGTCACATATTTTTCTCTTCATAAGAAAACACTAGCATAGGCCTAAATAATGTCTGAGCCATGTTTACATATTGATTTCACATGCATATTGCACTTTATTTTATTGTTCTTTTTGAGTAATCATGTGTTTTCATTTAAGAAAATGTGTTGGAAATTACTGATTGTGCTCTCATCAGGCATTATATGACTCATGATCATATAGATCATATATGGAATCAAGAATACCAACACATTGTATTTTCTTAAAAGATGCAATTTGTAAAAATTGCTCCGCCATTTCCTGGTTGCAAAAATTAAAATACTTTGTTTAATTTCAGTTTGTGACAAAACAAGCAGTGTAGAGAATCATTGTACCATCTAAACCACTGTGAAATATATTTCCAATAACCCAAAATATTGTATTTTCAGCTGTTTGAAGCTGGTTTACAAAACTGAAAGTAAAAGATGCAAAAATGAAACTTAAAAAACGGGAAGAATAGAAATAGTGCACATAGAACAGATCTACTGCTTCTTAGACTTGCTTTCAATGAAAATGACAGATCTAACACACATTTCTACACTGAACAAAAATATAAATACAACATGCAACAATTTCACATATTTTACTGCGTTACAGTTCATATAAGGAAATCAGTCAATTGAAATAAATTAATTAGGCCCTAATCTATGGATTTCACATGACTGGGAATACAGATATGCATATGTTGGTCACAGATACCTTTAAAAAAAAGGTTGGGGCATGGATCAGAAAACCAGTCAGTATCTGGTGTGACCACCATTTGGCTCATGCAGCGCGACATCTTCTTCGCATAGAGTTGATCAGGCTGTTGAATGTGGCCTGTGGAATGTTGTCTCACTCCTCTTCAATGGCTGTAGGAAGTTGCTTGATATTGGCAGGAACTGGAACACACTGTCGTACACGTTGATCCAGAGTATCCCAAACATGCTCAATGGGTGACATGTCTGGTGAGTATGCAGGCCATGGAAGAACTGGGACATTTTCAGCTTCCAGGAATAGTGTACAGATCCTTGCGACATGGGGCTGTGCATTATCATGCTGAAACATGAGGTGAAGGCGGCGGATGAATGGCACGACAATGGGCCTCAGGATCTCATCACGGTCTCTCTGTGCATTCAAATTGCCATCGATAAAATGCAATTGTGTTCATTGTCCGTAGCTTATGCCTGTCCATACCATAACCCCACCGCCACCATGGGGCACTCTGTTCACAACGTTGACATCAGCAAACCGCATGCCCACACGATGCCATCTGCCCGGTACAGTTGAAACCGGGATTCATCAGTGAAGAGCACACTTCTCCAGCATGTCAGTGGCCATCAAAGGTGAGCATTTGCCCACTGAAGTCAGTTACAATGCCGAACTGCAGTCAGGTCAAGACCCTGGTGAGGACGACGAGCACGCAGATGAGCTTCCCTGAGACGGTTTCTGACAGTTTGTGCAGAAATTCAGCTGTTCGGGTAGCTGGTCTCAGACGATCCCGCAGGTGAAGAAGCCGGATGTGGAGGTCCTAGGTTGGCGTGATTACATGTGGTCTGCGGTTGTGAGGCCGGTTGGACATACTGCCAAATTCTCTAAAACGACGTTGGAGGCGGCTTATGGTAGAGAAATTAACATTCAATTATTTGACAACAGCTCTGGTGGACATTCCTGCAGTCAGCATGCCAATTGCACGCTCCCTCAAACTTGAGACATGTGGCATTGTGTTGTGTGACAAAACTGCACATTTTAGAGTGGCCTTTTATTGTACCCAGCACAAGATAAACCTGTGTAATGACCATGCTGTTTAATCAGCTTCTTGATATGCCACACCGGTCAAGTGGATGGATTATCTTGGCAAAGGAGAAATTTGTGCACAACATTTGAGAGAGATAAGCTTTTTGTGTGTATGGAACATGGGACCAACACTTTACATGTTGCATTTATATTTTAGTTCAGTATATGTGAATTTGGTCGGATCGCCCAGACATATTTAAATAAATAAAAAACATTTACTTCAGTTACTGTTGGCATTTAATTTTTCCGCTGTGCCGAAACCAAACAGTGACCCCAAAACCGCAATATGTACCGAACCATGGGTTTGGTGAACCGTTACACCCCTACTGAAAACGTTTAGCCATCCCAATTACATTTGTTTGAAATAATTAAATAATATTTATTTGGAGTGCCGGCAATGATTGAAACGCTGCTGCTAAATGAATATAGGGGAAACACTGGGGTGAACTGAATTCCAATTCAATGGCACAAATACAAGCAATAAAATTCCAATTCAATGGCACAAATACAAGCAATAAAATAATAGGAATCACAGCCTCAGCATCCTAACAGGGGCTCCACTCTTTACCCTGCCATGATCCCCCACCCCTAAGAAGTTTTTTTTGTGTGTGTGCCTGGGCTGCCTGGCATGGACACCAACTCTTAGGGAGGGAGGGAGAGGCACAGTGGGCGAGGGTAGGGTGTATGAGGAAGAGGATGAGGGATGATTGCCAAACGGAGCAGTGAACTGAAGCACAGCCTTGACCAGGAGAAAAGAGCGGGTGATGTGAATGAGCAGAGCAGCGGTAGATGGGATGGGATCAGGGGCTAGGGGCAGGAAGTCTCATACAGTGTGTAGTGTTGTGTGTGTGCGTGTTGGCACTGTGTTTAACAGGCCTGTGTGTAATACCCACACATTGCGCACTGCTGCAGCACTGGCACTGGGGCATGCTGTGCTATGGATGCAATGCGACACACAAGTATGCATGCATGCACACCATTGTCCCTTCACACACATCCATGATAACCCCCACACAGTAATGTGATCAGCACAACATAGAAAATCAGGAGTAATGGACACAAGTCCATTTGAATGATACTATGTAGATATAAAAATAGAAATGGACTTCCTGATTTACCTGAGGTCATGATAGGACATCTGTAAACAAATTATGCACAAATGTCTGTTTGTGACTGTGTCACTCTCAACACAAACCCTCTCAGTGGAGTGAGCCGGCAGTACACTGTGGGCAAAATCATTCACAGTGATTTGTGTCTGCCTTCCCTCTGGGCAGGTGAGCAGAACAACTCAATCCCTTCATGACACAGATACACAAAATTACACAATCAACACTATCACCCTCTAGGGGACCACATCTATTCTCCTAACAACTTGGATATAGCAGGCTGATCATTTATTTTCAGGGCAGTGTGTTGGTTGGTTATTCTATCCTTGTGGGGATTTCCCAAGTCCCCAAGAGGACAAAGGCTATTTTAAGCTTTGGGGTTAGGTTTAGGGTTACAATTAGAGTTAGAATTAGGGTAAGGTAAGGGGTTAGGTTTAGGAGTTAGGGTTAGGGTTTGGGTTAGAGTTACGGGTTTAGGCCCTGTGTAGCTCAGTTGGTAGAGTATGGCGCTTGCAACGCCAGGGTTGTGGGTTCGATTTCCACGGGGGGCCAGTATGAAAATTGATGCACTCACTAACTGTAAG